GACTTCACTTTCTTGCTCTCCCCCGTCGCTCCCGCCGATGTGCGAGTTGCGGTTCACCGTTACTTGAAATTCTTCTAGGAATTTTCGAGACGCTTCAATTTCGAGACGCATCAATTTCAGCATCTCGGCGCCATTTGCTATTTCGTCACGCTGTTGTTGCATTATGTTTTGCAACTCATTTTGAGCCTCAATTGTCTGTTCCTTGTTACGTTGAACTTCAAGTTCCTTTGCAGCATCGTCTCGGATATCCACTGGTACCTTATTTAATCTCGCCATCAGCTCAGTTTTGGTACCCTCTGTTGGCAAATTTAGTAATGCCAACCAACTTTTCAATGTCGCTATTGACACGTCATTTATATTTATATTTTCCATTTTGTTGTGTTTTTTTTTTTTTTTTTCCTGAGTCAATCCCACTTCTGATATTGTAATAGTATGATTTTCTTCGTTGATTTAACTTATGTTCGGGTTGCCTTTTTATTTTTAACAACACGTCTTCTTACTGCTAGTACTGTAGAGAGACTGCCTTCCACTTCTTCTCTGCAGCCGCTTTTCTTTATCGATATTTACTTATCGTACTGTTATAATTAACATAGATAGTGACACTATAATACCCTGGCTAGGGTTACCAATGATGCTCTTATCCTATTACAATATGCTTCGTAATTAAAATGTCTTTTGGGCTTTTCATGCGCTTATTAAATATTCTTTTTGTTGTACTCTTAATTTTGTCATGCCTGCGAGCGGATGCTGACGCACCTGTACTTTAAAAGGGCGTGTTATTTTTTATTGATTGAAAAAGAACATGAATAATGCAGTGCGTAATAAGAAGAAGTGGAAGATTTGCTTATTAATTTTCACTTTTCATTATAAGCACACAAAATACCCACACGTATTTTCCATGTAAATTAACATATATCAAAGCATTTATTCAATTTAAAAAAAAAAGAACTCGTTGATTACAATGCTCTTAAATAGCTGATTTATGGAGTTAAGCTTCCATTTTTCCCTCTTTCTTCAGCCAACAAATTGGTTTCTGATGAGCCACATAAGGCTTGAGCTTAGAGCGTGTTTTGTGCGACAGATTTGCATATGGGCCGCAAATGAAATTCAGGCTAATTTCACGGCAAAAGAATCTGGCGAAAAGAATCAACCAATTCGCGCAGTGAAAGTTGCGTTTCAGTCTGAGTCTGAACGTAAAAGCAAATTATATACGAAAGACTTAAGGCACGAACTTGCGCCAGTTAATGACTTCAACGGCAGCCAACGCTAATAAATGATTAATTGCGGTCACATACAGCACAAAAAGAAAAACTAAACTAGTTTTTTTTTTATTGTATTTTGATTTGTAAATTAAAAAATTCAATTTTTACTTTTTGGTATTTCTTTTGGTACTTACAACAATGAGACACATTTTTGCGCGTAATTTTCTGTTAATATTTTAAAGAATGCTTTTCGTTGTCAACGCTGCCGCAGTCTAGCCTTGGAATATATCCTTGAACTGCGAACGAGACAAAAGGCGATGTGTTATCACGCGTAGATTCGTGCTGAAAGCGGACACAACACACACACACACACATACACAAGTTAAATGCCAATCCTTATGTGCTTTAAAGTTTAATTGCTTTTTTTTATTGAAATTTGTTTTTTTGTTGCTTGCTGCTTGCTGCAGAGCACGACAGGCTTAAGGAGCACGCACACACAGAGACACGCACTAAGCTCCCGGTCTGAAGCTGAAACACTTGACGCACCTCTAGAACCCAACGAGGCAACGACTGAAGATTAACTGATTCGTGCCCGTGCCCAGCGCGGCTGTTTTATAACATTTCCATTAGCCGACGGCCCCAAAGAAATGTCCAACCTGACCGAGGGCAGTTGTAAGCGGGAGAGAGCAACAGCTAGAGACAGAGACAGAGAGGCAGTGTATGCCAGCGAGTGAGAGCAACAGCTTAAGAGAAACTCGCGTGTGGGGGGCACGTACGCATGCGCCTTGGCTGTGTCTTATCAATTGTCGGGCATCTGTCTTGTCCCCCCAGTTGCGGTACTCTTTCCCTATATCGCACCTGGCCAAACCCACCCAAAATTGACATTCACGCTTAACAGGGCTGATTAAAATCTTGTCTACATTAGATGAGCATAACTAAATCACGTTTTTTTGCACAGTTTTTGGATTTCTATTGTTTTGTTTTGCGTGTTTTTTTTTTGTAGCCTGGGAATTGTTGACAGTATAGCATCAAGTGCTACTGTTCAGTCGCTCTGACATTGATTAATTAATCGTTAGCCAATAGCTTTGATTGAGTGAGCACTATCTGCTGAAACAGGCTCAATTACATGTGAAGTGAGAACGAAAGACTTAAGACACGAACGCGCGTGGGCAGGCAGGCAAGACATGGAGGCTAAGCAGAACAAATTGGCTTGACGCTGCGAAAACGAATCTTAAATTGAAACATAATCCAAATTATATATACATATGCATATAAAAGACTTAAGACACGAACACGATTATGGTTCAATGAATGAACGCTGCGGTTAATTGACAAAATGCTTGCTGTCAGCGGAAATGGTATTCAAATTTAGCCCACTTTCAATGTAGAACATGTTAGAAAGTTTTGTGTCCTCAGTCGCTGGGATTCTATGTGCGTATATATCAGCTTGCGCCCTTAATTCATTTACAACGCGAAACTCTTAAATTTTCCGTGAACAAATGTCAGATTTGCGTATAATTCCAGAGCCCATCAAGTGTGCAGCTTAAGCAGATTAGTTTGCAGCCACAAAGACTCACCTAAATAACTCTGCCGAACCCGAGCTCAGTTGCGCTTTTATTGCTGTTAATTAAGCGGTCTTTAGGACTATTTTTAGAATGCCTAACTAGCTAGCCGCATGCGAACTTTCATATTGTTATTATTTAGCTTTTGGATAGTGGAGCACCAGAAGATTTATGGTTTCAGTTGGGTTAATGGTGGCCCGAATGCAGGGGCGCATACAAAATGAACAGAGAAAACCCAGACTGTGGACTGAGGCACACTTTCAATGACATTAATCGAAAGTCGACAAATCGATGCAGCAACAACAGCAACAAAAATACAGCTAGGACTGGCAGGCCAGGCATGCGCCAAAGAGTTCAACTGTATGCGAAACCTTGAAACCTATTTATATAAATATACAACGGCATACGGAACTGGGGCCTGGTGTTGGCTTTGGTGTTGACTTGATAGCTGGGCTATGTTTATGCCTGGACAATTAAGTGTGACCTTCACTGGGTGCATCAGGAACAGAACCGTCAGAATGAAGGCACATAACTGGATCTCTCACTGCCTCTCTCTATCTCTTGCTCTCCCTCTCTCGCTTCGAAGCTGGCATTGTTCTGTGCGCTTGCACTATAATGAAGAACTTTAATGCAGAGGGCATTACCTATGCAATTATGCCAACCCAATTATGCAGCTGGGCTGGCCTGGCCTGGCCTCAGCCAGTTCCCAGGCCTAGACAAAATATATGCTCTCTGAGCTGAGAACTTGCGCTGTGAAATGGCTCAAAAATGCGTTAGATTCGTGTCAGACCTTTTTTATGTTATTCGCTGTACTTGAATAAATCCAGTCTAATAGAAAGTTGTCGAGCGCTGCAAATGAAAACTTCTTAAGCTAATTTTATGGTCAAACGAGTGAAACGTTGCCTTTGCCTAGCCATGAAAAGGTTGCGACAAAATCTTTTGAATAATTTTGCTAAAAACTACAAAATGAAAACAACAACAAAAATACCATAAACTTATTATTTATTAGCCTCCGCTGTGTTGTTTTTAGTATTATTTTTTTAGTTGATTTAGTTTTTTTTTTTTTTTTTTGGTAACTTGCACTGTTTTCTTATTTAGGGCACGCGGCTGCCGCCAAGGCTCAACGTTCGATTCAAATTATTTAGCAAGTTCGGGCACGCAGCGCACATTTCAAATTTCAAGCGCGCGCCTTCCCCCGAAATATAAGAAATACCACAGCCACAAGACAAAGTTTAACTTCAGTCGTTCGGTCAGGTTGGGATGCAACTGGCCCGGCAGCATAACAAATTCGGTAATTGTTGAATTGTTTTGTCAGACACAAAAACCATCAAATCAATTAGGCATTATAAAATGCATAAATCGTTTTAGGTATGGGTACACAGCACGCGCCACGATTACTCATTTAACCAAATTAGTTTTATATGGCAATAGCTCGTTGTAAATTATATTCCTACATTCCACAGCAAAAACTTGAGAGTTTATTTAATATCATGTTGAGCATGATTTGCCGCTGAAACTCTCAATTTTTATCAAATTTTTTGGGATTAATATTATTTTACTGGGAAATGAAGCTCGTGAATGATTTTCGAAGACAGAAAATATATATCTTGGCAAATAGAATCAGACAAAAACTCATATCTCAAGCGAATATTCTATATAAAATACAGTTGTACGATATCGAAAAGATATCTTGATAAACAATAAAAGTTTTTCATACAAAAACTTACTCTTCGTCCGATCGTTCCTATGACAGCTATATATTACAGTAGTCCGACTCAGTCGGTGCCTATAACAGAAAGTCGGACCTATGCAAAGTTTAAAGAAGTTAGCTTTAAGACTGAGAGGCTGATTCGCATAGAAACTGACAGAAGCACGGACGGCCAGAGACTCAAGGCCATATCAACTTGGCTATTACTGTTGATATAGAATATATATGCTTTATGGGATCGGAGATGTCCTTCATGACAAAATTACAATACCCTCTGCAAGTGTATACACAGTATAAGCAAATTTTAATGCTGCTTTAACCTTTGCAAAGCTAACTAGATTAAATTCGGAGTTTGATTCAGGCAAACATAAAAATGTTTTTAGAAATCGAATAGCCAAGTATTATTTATGTTCCGCTTTAGTTGAGCTGCCAGAGCACGTAGCTTTTGGGCTAGTTTCGAGTTAGTTGGAAAGTCCTTGAAACGGACGAATTGGAAATCAAGCACAGGTTCAGGGAAATGTCAAAAAATCAGTTAACTGCAGTAGATTTTATTGTCTAAGAAATTGATCAATAACTATGCAGGCTGGCAACTGTTTGTCCATGCGTTTGTTCCGTTGGCTTTGCCAAATTGCCGCCCATGACCACGAATCCAATGCCAGCGCCGGCCTTATAGCTGAGCTCGTGATAGCCAGCGGCATCATAGTACGAATACTTACCCAGCACAATGCCAGAGTCATCCGTGTGCTGGGTATGCGACATGTGCTGCGTGCTAAAATCAATGCCGCGGGGCTGCTGCTGAGGTTGATGAGGTCCATGCTGTGGTTGCACCCAATCCCATTGCCGATTGCTGATGGGCAATTGATGAACTCTAGCGTAAGGCCAGTGCTTGGACTGCTGCCCGGGCAGCTCATAGTTGGGCGACAGGTCGTTCACTCGGACAGCTGCATCCGTATTGTAGGCGTACTTCTGGCCATTGAACTCCATGTAAACCTGTGCGCCTTGCGCCGCACACAAAAGGCAGCTTAGACAGAGGAGCAAGTGCAACCGGCGACAAATCATCCTAAAGACTGAAACTGAAGGCAGCCCAAACTTTGTTTAAATAAGCAAACAACCGACCACAATCTGTGTGCGGCATCGATGTCAACCACTTGTGGAGCATGTATTGAAGGTGTACACATGTATTTAGCATAAATAGGGTTACAGTTACGGCCCGACCGCAGTTGACACCGATTCAGTTAACTTAGTTGCGAGCGCTTACTTAACTACAACTACAGCTAGGTCTGGCGCGGGGTATCGCTCTCTAGTGCTCCCTGGAGGCGGCCAGCTCGGCCATCTCGTCCTGGCGCAACGCCTCCGATGGCGACAGCGTGATACGACCGCCCAGCGGCAATATGTCAATGTTCTGGACATGGGCGCGCACACTCTGGCCGGGCGGCAGGCCCACATACCATTTGCCCACATTCTTGATGACCGTGGAGTCGCGATGGCGCTGCACCCAATCCCGATCCCGATCTATTTCCAATATACGATGATTGGCGGTCACCAGCGGCGGCAGCGAGCTGCCCACATCGTCGTCGTTCAGATTGTAATTGTCGCCCGGACCGCTGGCCGAGCTTGTGCCATCCGCTTCCGCGGAAGTGGCTCCACCGCTTGCGCCACTAAACCTGTTGCGATTCCGTGTGCCGCTGGCATTGAGACGACTCGTGCCAACTCCTCCTCCTGCTCCGCCTCTTCCTCCCCCGCCACCTGCCCCGTCGTATCTGGTGCTGCCACGCTGTGAGCTGCCCGCGGCATAGCCTCGTCGATCTTCTTTACCACGATCAGCCGTTGAGGAGCTGCTCGAGCTGCTGATCAATCCACCGTCATCTCCGTCTTCATCGTCAACAATACCATTGCCCTGTTTCCTGGCATCTATTGTTTCCTTGTCGCCTTCCTCCCCAGCCCTGGCCCCAGCTGCTTTCTTTAGGTAGTCTGTATCACCGGCACGCCCCCTGCCCCCTGCACCGCCTCCACTTGGTCCGGAGCCTGCCCCCTGGCTGGCCGTGCTGCCTCTGCCGCTGGCTGCACCCAGGCTGCCGCCCGCGCCCCGTCCAAAGTCATTGGCCAGTCGGAAGTCCGTATCGCTCAGTCGAAAATCCGCCACGGAGGGATTTATGTGAGTGCCGGGTCCGACGCGATTGTTGACGACTCGGTAGCCAATGCCCGCACCAGCTATGTACTCGACGGTGCGCTGCACGCCCTTGTCATCCAGGAAGGAGTAAGTGCCGCGCACCAGACCATCAGAGCCGCGACTCTCGGCGCGTCGATGATCCGGGCCAGCGGCAATCAGCTTGTAGGTGCCCCCGGGGCCGCGCTGCACGGACATCTTGCCACGCGTCTTGGGATGTGCCTTGTACAGCGGACCAGAGTAGCCTACGCTAGCGGGATTGTCGGGCACGGCATTGGAGATCTCAAAGCCGGTGCCAGCGCCGGCAGCATAACGCACGCTGTGCCGCTCGCCCACATCGTCCAGATAGGAGTAGAGACCTAAAGGGACAAGGAACAGGAAATATAAGCAGAATCCAGTTGAATCTGTTGGCTATCCACCTCTTATTCTGTTCGTGGCATCGTTTTCCTCGCTGCGCGACTGATCCGGCGTGCGGAAGCTGAAGCTGTACGAGGGATCATCGTAGGGATCCGCAAGCGGATCATCGGGACTGCCACGTGGACGCACCGGATACTGTGCCAAATCCATTTTGCGATGTATTTTCGGCCCATTCACGCGAAAGCTGTATGAGAGAGCAGGTGGCGATCAATTAGCTGCGCTGCTAAGATTACAACTAATTGCTCCGGCTCTGGGAACTAATCGACGGCTAACACCTTATTCTCGGGATTGGGTTACCCAGCTGCCTATTAAAATCGCTCGCCTGCCTTCCATATCTGATGATCTCGCACGTCATCAATGTTGATTACTATTGCCACAGATGCAGCACGCTCTGTCGTATTGCATTCAAAAATTAAACTACTTTTATCTAATGCTGTGCATCTTAATGAATTTTCCGAGTGCCATGTTTCACTTACAATTTGTTAACAGCTTTTTTTTGTTTGTTTGTTTGTTTCTTTTCTCAACTGCCGGAGATTGCAAAAAAAAAAAAAAAACAAACAGTTGAAATGGAAGCTAGACGCAAAAACAAACGTTTAGGCAACAAAAACAGCCCCCGCTTCCTCCACTTGCCTCCAGCTGGCATGTGTTAGAACCGTTTCGACTTCAACTTTGACTGTGAGTACGCCCCGCCCCGCCTCGCCCTCAACCCACGCCCCCTTCAACACGCGTAACGCTTGAGTGGCGCTGATATATGAGCTCGCCGGAAGGCGGACCGAACCGATAACTCACTTTGCTACCGCACTTTACCCAACTACCTGCGGTTAACTCTCTTCCTCTTCGGCTAACTTGCCAACTGTTTCTGTTCGGCTAACTCACCCACGTGGTCCGGCCGTATAGACGGTCTCTTCGATCTGGCCGCTCGCTGGACTACGCGAACCATAACGACCTCGCACGATGTTGTCTGGAGTGCCGGAGGCGCTATGATAGTAGCCGCCAATGTCATCATTTGCATGTCTATCCAAAGAGTAATTGCGTGTTGCCCATGCGTGGTAAGACAGAGAGGAGAGAGAGAGAGAGAGAGAGAAACAGTTAGTCATCATTGCAAAATGGCATTAAAATAGGTGTTAAATGTGGCAAAGGAGCCAGAGCGTGATGCGCACTCTTGTTGTTGTTGTTAAGGTGTTTAAAACACAGTTGATTCAATTATTTATTTTAATTATAAGTAAAACGTTCAATTTAGAATTTAAAGCATAATTAATTGATTGATTAATTGAGATTGCCTCACGAATTCTACTTAGTGTTAATTGTTAATTAAACCAATCTGTACGCAGATCAAGCTTTATATATGGAAACCTAAAGCAAAGCCTTCATAAGACACAACCATCCCAGCCAATGCTGGATTCTTGGATGAAGGCCAGAGATTCGCCCCTTGATTTAACCTTTGTTTGACAAACTTTATTAAAATAATAAAAAAAAATAGACTAATTAATATAATAGAAAATCTAGCTGTGTTCGAGTCTCCTCTTCGAAAGGATCTTTTTTTATCTTGATCTTCTTTCAATGAATAAATATGAAATTAAGTTATAAAAAAAAATCTAATTAAAAATCAAATATAATTATTAATTAAATCAAAATAAAACTATAATAAAATTATATAAATATAAAAAATAATATTCTAGCTACGTTCGAGCTTCCTCTTCTAATAACTATCTAAATTTGTTGTGCTCCTTTTTTTTATGACGACATATTTTATTGGGTTTTTAATGCTCTACAGTAAATTTACATAAAATCCTTTTGCCATTTGTCTGAGTAAGCAAGTTTTTTAACCATTTGCAAGGGAAGGACATTGGTTCAAATCTCTGCCTAGTGTTTGGCTCTAGGTTTTTTCTTGGTTAAGCAGCAATATTTGCCAGCTAGCAACAATATTCAATATTTTAGTATATATTCTAAACTTTAAAAAATAAAAATATGTATATTTGCTCTGTGGTCTTAAGCAAAGGCATATTTGTTAAAATTGTTTGCTCTATATTTAGAGTTCATATTTAAAGACTTTTAGGCTTGAATTTGAAAGCAGCTAATGTCATGTTCTGATTAAATTATAGAACTGCATAGTTGTCATCTTTAGCATATTTGCTAGTAGGTGTCCCTAAGAGCTTCACGTTTAATATAATTGTTTGTTAAGCGCTTTTTTCCTAGCTCTGCTTTTCATCAAGCAAAGCCTTTGTTGAATCTTTATGATAAACTGCAGCAAGTCAGTTCACAATTATAGCTTCAATAATTATACCGAAATTGAAACGATCCGTCCGCATTAATGGTATTATATTCGATTTCGGCAAACACGGGAGCACCAAGTTGGCCAAATGCAGCGCATAAAAGCCAAAGCAGGCGCAACATTTCCATAAATTCTCAATTTAAATGCCTGTGCTAAACGACTTGTGTCTGTCCAATTAGAGGAGCATCCTGCACACACACACACACTAACACACACACTAAAACACACAGAGCTACAGGCAACAAGCAGTACACAGTGGACACACGTATCAATACACAAGCGGATCACGGAATCGAGGCGTTTGGCTGGCGGCAAGAACAACGCGGCGACTGAGGAGCTGGCGACTGAATGCGCCCAAGCGTTAGACCTTCGTATTTAAATACGATTCTCAGGCGAGTCAGCGAACGGTGGCCAGCTTTTCAGTTCGGCTCGGCAGCAGCAGCAGCAGCAGCAGAAGCAGCTGCCACTTGTCTCACCTGACCACCCACCAAAGTGGCAGCCACGAAGATGAAACAACATTTGTGTGCAAATTGCGTTACAAGAGATGTTCAGCTAGCGAGTGAGAGAGACAGAGATAGAGTTATAGAGAGGGCAATCGGGCGGTCGGGCACGTGGGGCAGGTGAGAGAATTTGTTCTAATGATGGACACGCAAGTGACTGTTTGTTGTTCTAGCTGCATGCTGCATGTTGCGCCATGGCCAACAATGTCTGGACGGGCTCCTTGTTCAGTAAATTGCAAACAGAACAGGAGTGGAAAAAGTCGTGGCTGCCAACAGCAGAGGCAGCAGCAGCAGCAGCAGCTGTCTGTCAATTAGTTGAAGCTGTTGCTGCTGTCGTCGTGTTTCGCTTCCTGTTGCAGCCGCATTGTTGACAATTTTCCAGCGCGTGATCTATGACATCGCGCAAATTTCCTGTGCATTGAACTCTCGTGCGGCAATTACCAATGCGACACGCCCCCATTCAAAATCTAACAGCAGCAGGCACCGTTAACCGCCCCCCATCATCAGCATCATCATCAGCATCGGCTTTGGCTATTATAAATTTGCCGCGCTCCGGAGTCTAGGTCAGTGTCTTAGCTGCAATTTGGTTTGTCTTGGCCGCGCTGCATTATGCAATTAAAGGCAATTACGCGGCGGCTGAGGAAGAGTTGCCGTTCTCTGTTCTCTGTTCTCTCAGCGGCCACAATTTCCGCCTAGGATGTGGCCCAAAAGATTTCCAACCTTTTTAATGAGCCCAATTAGCGAGTGCAGAATACAGCCAGACCAGGCCCGGCCCGACCAGGTTATTGGCCATTGTTCTCGTCTTACAATGAGCAGCAGAAAATATGTCAAACATTTTGATTAGAACATTGAGCTGTGGGCGCAGCTAGAACGAAAGACTTAAGCCACAAACTTGCCCATCGCTTGGCTGCCTTTGATTTATCTGACCCGTGTGTGTGTGCATGTGTGTGTGTGTGTGTGCCGCATATGAATATGAATATCATATCTTGATTAAGTTTACTTTACTTTAGTTAATATGCTAATTTTATTAGATTTAGTAGCAGCAACAACAAAAATGCGGAAGACCAATTGTGCAGCCAAATGGAGCAGGGCTGAGACATTCAAATGAAATGAAATGAAATGGAATGAAATGAAATGTGATATGTGCAGATATGTGACAATGGAATTGAAACAAGCGACGCCACTGGCACAATTGAATTGTATTATTAGACGTAAGGACAAGTTTCTGGCTGACTTGGAGGCAATTGCACGCATGGGAAATGTGCAACCAGTTGTTGCTGTCGCTGTTGTTGTTGTTGCTGCTGTTGTTGTTGTTGCCATTGAACCACATACCCATAGAGCTTAAAACTGGAAATTCATATGCGTTTTCACTGCCAACAACAGCCACACAACGACGAGCTGGAGAGGAAGGCCAACAGCATTGGCAAAAATCCTGCCATTTGATGGAAAGTGAAATTGCTTTCGTTTTCATTTGAAAACTTTGGCAAACTCCATTCAATTGTCGTTGGCCAATCCGTGCGGTTCGTTGCGAGCGCATCAATCAAAATGAGAATTACACAACTTTTGCATATTTTCTTGTGTGTTATCACATCCATGGAAGCCATGGGCTATGGCACGAAGAAGGCGCGCTGCTTGAATCCGCCGCGCACCGCCAGACGCGTCGAGTCCGTCATCGGCGACTGTCAGGATGAGGTCAAGAATAAGCTGGTCAATGGTAAATGGTTTGTAAGCTGCCGCAGTGCAACAATTCTACATGAAATTTCCTCTAACTGCAGAGGCATACCAAATACTCAAGGAGCAGGTGCAGCAGGAGCAGCCCACGCTGAATGCCGACGACGGCGTGGAGTTCATTGAGTCGCTTCAGTGGCCGCCCGTGCTGCAGCAGACAAGCCACGAGGCGCCACCCAATGCCAGCCGCTACGAGTATATTGTCTACGATGAGCCGGAGCCGCGGCGTCGCATGGCGCGCCTGGTGCGCAGCCTGAAGCGTCTGGATGTGGCCAGTGCGGGCATCTATCACCCGACGCTGGTGCCGCTGGAAGACAAGCGCATTGCGGGCGTAAGTAGCTCCAACCCGACTCCCCAGTACCGCCGCCCAAAGATCTGTCTGCAATTAAGTTCAATGGCAGCCCAGCCCCGGAGAGGTGCAACAAACGCTGCGTCGACTTTGGGCTGTTGCCACGGCGCCTGCCATTGATTTGGCGTGTGCAATTAAAAAACACGTAAGAATGCTGAAGTCGGGCTTAACCGACTGTGCAATGCTCTGTTAAGAGTCGGAAAACCGCTTAAAACTCTTGGCTAGATGCTTGATTAGTGCAATGGTGACTCTAAGCCTGTCGGTGGCTTTCAAACTGTACGACCTTATGAAGTTTTGCTCTTTGCAATATTTAGAAATAGAGTTTTCAATGTTAAAGTGACTCTAAGACTGTAAATCCAAAGCAATGGCTTTCAAACTGTGCGACTAGGATATGTGGAAATGGGAGATTCAAATATTCAAGTGATTCTAAGACTGTAAACGTTGCTTTGCAATGTCATTCAAACTGTTTGACATTGGAATTGCTCGTGGTGACTGTAAAACTGTAGGAAGAATTCAGTTGCTTTTAAACTGTGTGGATATCTAATTTTGTGTCAAGACGGGTGGGGTTGGGAATGCCTTGGGAAAAAACTGACTCTAAAACTGTGACTGGGAAATAGGGAATCTCCACGTTCAACTAGATGAAAGCCAATATACTCATTGCTTCTCATTCTGAACAGAGTATACAAAATGCACCGCACCTCCGCTCGCCCAATGCAAAAGTCAGGGCTGCGATTTTTGCGAGACAATTGAAAGAAAAGCGCAGTTGCCGTTGCATTCGCAGTCACAAGTACAATTTTTTTTTTCACACACAACAAGCCAAGTTTTATGACTGAAAAGTGCATTTTATGTTTGCATTTAATACACATTAACTGCTTTTTATGCATCAGCAAATTGAATGCCCCCAACGAATACATTTTTGATTGTTTTTTGTTTTTCTTTGGCCATTTTCCATTTTCAGTGTCTGCTGCACTGCGTCTATGCGAGGAACAACGCCATTGACAAGAATGGCTGGCCGACACTGGACGGCCTGGTCGGCTTTTATTCGGAGGGTGTTCACGAGCACGGCTTCTTTATGGCCACATTACGTTCGGTTAATCTCTGTCTGCGGGCCATGACCACCAAATACCAAGTAAATCGCCGGCAGCTGCCGCAGAAAGGCGAAAGCTGTGACTTGGCATTTGATGTGTTCGACTGCATATCGGATCAGATAACAGGCTATTGCCTGGATCAATATAGCTAGTATTAGTTGGGGCTATAATAAAAACATCCTTATTTATTGTTGCTTTAAGATTTTTATTACTACGTTTGCGCCATCTATTGTTTGTTTTCACAACCAAGCAATGGCTTTACAAATTTGACCTAAGATGGCGCCACACTGCTTTGTTTGCATATGTTTGCCGCAGAGCTGTCACCCGATGCAAATTTTAAACAACCATTGTTGTAACTGTAAAGCGCATAAATAGTAATTTTGAACTAAACGCCATTATTTTAAATGAAACTCAGAGTGTGTGTGTATAAATTGAAATCGTTTGTTTAGCAGAAAAACTTATGCAAAGGGCGCCAATTATTCAAAGCAAGCACAGTGTGGCCGTTTTTCTAGTATTAAATCGATAAATTTGCATGCGGTATAATTCATATAAACTGCTTACGGTCACTTTGGGCCGCGAGTTGGAACGCGAGTTTGGAGTTGGAGCGCACGAAAAAAGTAATAATTTTAATTATTAACAAAGTGTAAATAACTAGTGATATATACAGTACAAAACATTAGCATAGTTGTATTATTGTCACATATATCAGGTGCTTTAAGTACATTTTCAATTATGATTCAAATATGGCCATCTTCCAATTGAGGTCAAATTCGTGGAATAACTGTAAAACTACAACTACTTTAAAAGTTATTTGCTGTAAACGCGTTAAACCAGTGAAAACGAATGAAAAACCCGCAATTTCAAGTGCAATGTTCCAGCTTAAATAACAATTTTCCTTGGCCCTCAATTTGATGGCTTATATAATGCAAGTGGGCGTCTGCTTAATGCGCCTGCGCTTGTCTGAAATCTAGAAAAGTGAAATTTCTCAATTCATTAAAATTGCGTCGTCTGCGGCTGCCGGCCACGCTACGTCACATGCTTTAGTTAATGTCGTCTCTCAATATTGCAATGATGACGCAATTCTGCGTTTCGCCCAGTGCCGCGTGTGCTTTTTGTGCCCGTGAATCATACAACATCAGCGCTTGCGTTCGTTGTGTTGTTGTTGTTGTTGCTTCGTTTCTGCGTAAAGAGCGGCCGCATTGCCAGCATTTTTGTATTCCGAAAGTTCCCCTAAGTTCGAGACGCGCAACAATGCTGTGATATTCTCTAGCTGTCACTGTTTATCGAGCAACAGGTATTGCACCCAGCAAAGTGATTAGTCACAGCCAAGTCACAGACTCAACTCTAGTTGTTGCTGCTCAATGAACGCACGCGGTCTTCCAAACTACAAATGCTTGTTTGCATGTGTGTGTGTGTGAATGTGTGTCGTCCACTTCAACTGAAGTTGTTTTTGCATTTTCGATTTCTTCTTTTGTAGTCTCCACAGCACAGTTTTTCTGCGGCTTTTAGGGGGCTCGTCTAGTCTCCACTTGCGGCTGCAGCTGCATTTGGCCTACCCAACTGGTTTGTGTCTTGGCTAATTTGAATTTTTGCCCATTTCCAATAGAGCAGCTGATAAATTGCGCGTGTTTGAACTTGAAATGTATATTGATTAGCAAGTCCGACAATACATGCTTGAGTATGAATGTGTATATAACCTGTACTGAGTCATATGCCTGCATTATGGAAAGCTCTCTCGTCTCTTTCGCACTCGCTGTGTGGGCGGCATATTTAAAAAGCAATGACGAACACTGTCAAATTTTATTTGACCATAGAACGGACTTTGAAATAGCTGTAAATGAAATCTCCAGCCAAAAATGTAGCCTAAACACACAGACAGAAACACAAGCAGGCACGTCTGTAAAATATGTGATAACCGCATAAAGCACGATAAGTGATTGTTATCAGTATGCGCTTGGCCCCTTTTGCTCAGCTCACACACGCACACACATACGCATGTACGTACGTATTTTTATCTAGCCAAGTGTCTCAGCGCAATGTATATTGTGCGTTGTCATGTGCCTTTTTATCGCACATTTTGTTTTTCAACGTTTCGTTCAACGTACACGAAACAAAAGCAACAACAAATTCAATTCGATTTCTAAAAAAAAAAAAAAAAAAAAGTTGTGTGTATTGTTTTGTGTATTTGTTTTTTATATTTTCTACTCTGAACGCTGCACACAGCCGTTCGACCGATCGGGGTCGGGTAATCTTTCGGGTGCTCTGCGCCGCAACGTTCAGTCGACGCGTAGCACTCAACACGAACAAACCGTTTGGCAGCGTATCTGTAAGATACGACGTGACGAGTACCTATATATTCGGTTCGTTTTTCCAATGGCAACTATTTAAGTTATGCACCGTTTCTTTTTGGGAACAGTGCAGTAATCAAAAAAAAATATTTGTAAATTTCCCAGCAAATACACTGAAAACCCTCGTGCGGAAATGTGGCATTAAATTGTCATTAAAACACAACATATAATCTTAATTGGCAAAAAAATATATATATTGTTAAGCTATAATTAAAAAAAAAATATTATGACAGAATTCTATAATGCTGGCCGAACACTCACGCGAGTTTTTATGTTATTTTTTACTTTTTTTGCACTTATGTAATCTGTTTTCGTAACCAAAGCGCCGACGTCGACGTTGTTTGCGCGGGGCAGAAAAAAAATAATTGCAAAGAAGAGAAGAAAGAAAAAAAAGAAAAGAAAAACAGTTTGTGAGAAAAATAAAGCAAAAGAAGCAAACAGATAAATAACGGCACAAACACACAAACGCAAGCGCAAACAGCCAAATGCTAGAAAGAGACGCAGCTATGCTGCCGACGGCCAACTAATTAAATTGAATTGTTCAATTTGTTGCTGTTGTAATCGCTGCACTTTCAAAGAAACCCCCACCCCCCTCCCCCTGCGCATGTATGACAAGCGTTTAGTGACCGTTGCTCCAAACCGGTTTTCACACATGAGTGTGTGTGTGTGCGTGTTTGGGTACTTCACTTTAACCCACATATACATATGCTTGTACGTATGTGTGTGTGTGTGTGTGTGTGTGTGTGTGTGTGTGTGTGTGTGTGTAGAACTGACAAATTCGAGTGGCTGATCAGTGATTAAATTCGTGGCGTTCGCCCAGACACAGATCCCGAGTCAGTCCACGCGTCGCTGATAAGCGCATGTGACCTGTTCTCTGGTGCCTTGCCACGCCTTTTGCGTAGGGCGTGCCATTTCATAACATTGGCAGACGCACGCGCTGGCTTGGCTTATCAAGACCAAAAAATTTCATGAATTAATTAAAGTCTGTGTGTTCAATGCAGCTTTCAGAAATTTTTGACAATCTTTTATGACTTGAGTTTAGATTGTGTCTGGGCTGATATTTCAGTTTATCAGATTTGCTCAGGTTTAATCAACTCCAGACAAATAAAGCAACGAGCTCTGATTGTTGTGTGCGAGCAAATACAGGTATACGAAATCATTAAAGTCAGGCTGACAATTGCGCAGCACACCAAAAAAACAAATAAAACAAAAACAAAAACAAAATAGAAAACAAGCACAAATAAGCCATAATCTACAGCAGCATATATAATACATGCATATATATACATATGTGTGTATGTATGTGTATGCGTTTAAGTTGATATATATATGTGCACATATACATATACACACATTTCACCACTGTGCAAATGAGTTTTTGGCAAACAATCAAAAAGGCGAAGGCGAAACGTCGTGCGGCAACCGACGTCAATTTTTTGACGTCATCAACGATCAGTTCGTGGGTCACGTGCCTGCGTCCGAGGGAAGGAAGCTGTCTCAGTTGTTGTCCCGGTCTGGTCTGGGCTAGACTTAAAGATAACTTCACACACACACACACACAGACGTAGAGTTACATGCATGCATATGTATGTATATTTATGCTAATCGGTGGCCCGCTAACTTGTTTATTTCATAATCATCGTTAGTTGGCAACAAGTTGCAATCAATTTTGAGACTTTTTGTCCATGACGTAAAAGCAAACAAAATATGCTTAAGTGCATGGGTGTGTGTGTGTGTGTGTGTGTGTGTGTGTCACTTGTATAACGCGACTGCATTATCTTATCAGGCGATTACAAAAGCGAAGGCGTTGCTGCTGTCTCCCGCCCTGACTGCGTGCCACTTGTCCAAACACAACAACAACTATTTACACTAGGCTACATATTTGTCAACAATCAACGTCTCAGTCTGTAATTGGCCTTTCGATACACAGAGAGAGAGAGAGAGAAAGGGGCACACATTCAGACTGCCTGCCTCTTAATTGTCTATATATATATATATTTAACTTAATATTCTGTTTATTTCGCTTTTGCAGTTATATTTTGTAAAGCTACAAAATGCATAGAGCACACACGGCCTTTAGTCTGGCGTTATCGCCCATGGCGCACAAAAACTTTGCCACATGGCTGCTCAGCAGCAACAGCAGTCAAAAGGTAAGCGAATATATTTATTGAGTTTATATTAGAAACTAAACGCATTCAATATTCAAGCAGCTGATCAAGGCCACCGCCGCTGCAGCCGTGCGCACCTACAATTCGGCAGCCGCCGAGCCTTTCGCCAATGGCAGCACCGCATCCTACGTGGAGGAGATGTACAATGCCTGGCTGCGTGACCCCAGCTCTGTGCATACCGTAAGTGCGCAGCTAATTTCAAAAACGGGGCAGTTCAATTGCCTCGCAGCGTTAATTAAACGTGTTTGTTGGCCTTAAAAAAAAAAACAGGTTTAAATGCCTTTTGCTCGAATTGAAAGTAACATTTGTTGCCTCGCCAAGCCAAATCGTTTATGGTCCAGTTTTAAGGGCCTTTCGAAATTTGTTAAAAAAAAAAAACAACCAAAAACTAGCTGATAAAGTTTTAAGTCGTTTTTGGTTTATGTAGGTCAGAAAACTTATTGAAGTCAAATAATTCTTAGAAACTCGTTGCCAAAAAAGAAAAAACAAGTTTAACTCTATATATGGCCAGGTTGTTGAACTCCCCAATGCATGCATATCTATATATGTATATATATATGAATATTTAATTCCTATTGAATTGATATATGTGATTATTTACAGTCCTGGGATGCATACTTCCGCAGCAACTCGTACGTGAGCCCGCCCAATTTGGCGCCCGTGCAGGCGAACACGCTGCCGCTGTCGGCTTTCAATTTGGGCGGCGCTGTCAGCGCTGCGCCCGACTCCAAGACCATTGATGATCATCTGGCCGTGCAGGCCATCATCCGCAGCTATCAGGTATGCTTTTGCTGGGTCCATAGCGCTTCCTCGCTTTCCCGCCCGCCCCAAATAGAGTTGAACAGTTGAGATTGCAGCCGCAAAGCGTACTATCTGTTGGCGCTTTTCGTTTGTTTCGTTCGTACATTATGTTGTTATATATATATATTGATTTTTTGTTATTTCATTTAGGTTTCTATTTAATGCTTATGTTTATGGTTTCATTAGAGCTGCCCCCCTTTTTGTGTTCTCCATAAAAGCAAAAGTTCAGATCACACACGACTAGCTTCGAAATCTTTTTATGTTTTTATATGTTTAGTGTAACAATCCAATGCCCCACACGCTCCACACCTTTCCACCATGCGTTTATTGTTTACATTGTAGTTTTTCTTTCTAGTATGTGTACAATTAGTTTGTTTGGAAAGTTAAGCACTCGGGCATTCATGAGTAGCTTCATCTAGTTACTTTATCATTGCGATCTTTTTCAAAAGTAGCTGCTCTCAGGACTTTAACCTTTTACGTTTTGTCATTAATTTAGCACAGTTTCTACAGCTGTTTAAGACATGATGATCTATCTGGTTTATGTAGCCGCAAACTGTCTTCACTTTGCTTTATTTCCTTGCACCGCATTAATTTCTTTCAATATCTTTTGATTCTCAATGGGTAGCTAGCTAAATCTTAATCTGAAACATGAACAACATAATAACCATGTTAATATTCAAAAATATATACTCTACATGTGTGTATAATCAAAACTATTTATATATATATATATAATTATAAATATATATATATATATGGATATATATGTACTATATATAGTCACGTGGTCATTTGGCATCTGATCTGGATCCGCTTGGAATTTTAACACGCGAAAAAACCGTTTGCAAGGATGGTCTTGCACGTCGCGCTAATGAGGATGTGCTCCGGCAGCATTCTGGGTTTTTGTTTGGTAAATTCCTTTTTTGCAAAACTCTTAAACAAAAAAAAAAAAAAACACCTGTTCACATTTAACATAGACACCCCCGCCCTTCAGTTGCACCCATCCAATATCATTTACACACAACACGCATACGCAAAAAAAAAATACAGTTGTAATCGTTTTAGCGCTTTGAAGCCTTTTTAACCCACCCATTTTGATAATATACTTATATATTACATGAAATTCGGAGTTGATGAGAGGCACAGGCAGGCAATAATAGTTATTGACCAATATTTACCTTTTCTAGAACTTAAGTTAGTGAGTTTTCTTTAGTTGAAATACGTTCTCATAAGTGTAAGTAACTATCGGTGTTTGGCTTTCACGAACTTTTATATCTATATCTGTTCTCCTAGTGCACCAAAGCGTTTTGTTCCAATTGCTTTCAACGTTCTATTTAATCAGTCTGTAAACCCGGTAATAACTAAGAACAAGCTCATCTCAATTAAACAAATTATTTGTCGCTCTAATGCTGCTTTCTTTGTGCTTTTTTTGTTGCTGTTTTATATACAATTTAATTGATTTCGTTTATGCTATAAAACTTATTAATTTTTCTTCTTTTTTTTTCATTTATTTTTATGTTTAAATGCTTCCTAACCTGTCCCCAAAAAAAAAAAAATATATATACATATATTTAAAAAAAAAAAAAAAAAAAAAACTGCAATCAAAACGCAATTCGTCAAATCATATAAACAACGTTAAAAATTCAAATCCAAATTCTCTTTCTCTCTCTGGTATTATGTGTGTATTGTGCAAATTAAACAACAACAACGACAAAAATATACATAAACAAAACATTGTTAATATGTAATACTTTGTAACCAACACACAACAACAACAACAACACACAACCACAACCTACACCAACCACACACAATACTGACACACACGTTAGATTCGAGGACATAATATTGCTCACCTCGACCCACTCGAAATTAATACACCAGATTTGCCTGGCAACACCTCGACGAAATCCATTTACGCTAATTTCAGTTTTGGTAAGTAAGCTTAGAGGCTGCAGTTGTTAATAAACAAACACACACAAACAAACAAATAAAAAAAGTGGGTGTGGCGCATGCCCTAAACGCCCCCAGAACCAACACATGCCACAACAGTACGAATCATTGTCTTTTGGTTTCTTAACTTGTGTTTTGTTCCGTTTTTTTTTTCGTACTATTTATATATATATGTATATAAAACCCGCCAATACTACTTTGTTTTGTACTAGTAACCCCCATTTTGTACCTTTCATGCACACAATCAAACAAAAAAAAACCCAATTTAAATGTATAAAAAAAAAACCCTCTCCGATATAAAGAACCAAGTAAATATCCATCTATAATTAAATTTAATTATATATCTATTGAAGAGTACAGTCTTGTATAATTTATCAAACATTGTTTTTATTTTTTTGTTGTTCCCATTGTCATGCAAAACTATTGTTTTTCCAGTTTATTATTTTCTTCTTTTCCATCTTGAGTTTCCGATTAGATTGCATGTCGTCAATTGCTATTTGCATAGTAAACAAGAGAAAACCAAAAACAATTTGCTATTTGTTGTTGTAAGAAGAAAACAATAATTTACACATGGCATTAAAAATGTCGCTGACAGAAAGATAATAAAAGAGAAATAATCGAAGCAAATGTTGATTAACTATTGAATAGGCAAGATGTATTGCATGCCTTGGTGTTATTCAGATGCATATATATATGTGTGTGTGTGTGTATAAAATTCCCCTCAGAACAAAGAACAAGAAGAGAACTTTTTAAATTTATATATATATATAAAAAAACTATATACGAGACAGATCAGCACGCATCTGTACTCATATTTATATAGTGCACAATTTACAGACCACAATCATTACACTCCGAATTTCAAATCGCTTACAAAAACTAATCAGCATCATTTAAAGAAAACCACATACCAAGCACAAATACTAATAGTTTCCTTTACAAAAAAAAAAAACACACACCCAAATCCGAAATAACAGGCGAGCAGGACATGGAGCGTCAGTTCAAGCTGCCCAGCACCACATTCATTGGAGGCGATGAGGCTTCTTTGCCCCTCAAGTAAGTCAACCATTAGCCAGCTCGTGAAACTAGTTATTAACTTTTGCATTCCAACTCTTTTTTAAGGGAAATTCTGAACCGTCTGGAGAATGTTTATTGCAATAAAATTGGCGTGGAGTTCATGTTTATCAACTCTTTGGAGCAGTGCAACTGGATTCGCAAGCGTTTCGAGACGCCGGGCGTGCTCAACTTTACGCCAGAGGAGAAGCGCCTGATTCTGGCACGTTTGACACGTGCCACAGGTTTTGAGGCCTTCTTGGCCAAGAAATACTCATCGGAGAAGCGTTTTGGTCTCGAGGGTTGTGAGATTATGATTCCGGCCTTGAAGGAAATCATTGATGTGTCCACCGAGCTGGGCGTGGAGTCTGTCATCATGGGCATGCCACATCGTGGACGCCTCAACACTCTTGCTAATGTCTGCCGCAAGCCATTGAATCAAATCTTTACCCAGTTTGCTGGCTTGGAGGCCGCTGACGATGTAAGTCCTTAATACCCTCTAATATTTAGCGGTAAACTTGAAGTCTTCTCCATGTTTTAGGGCTCCGGTGATGTCAAGTACCATCTGGGCACATATATTGAACGCTTAAATCGCGTGACCAACAAGAACATTCGTCTGGCCGTTGTGGCCAATCCCTCTCACTTGGAGGCCGTTGATCCTGTTGTCCAGGGCAAGACACGCGCTGAGCAATTCTATCGTGGCGATCAGGAGGGCAAGAAGGTGATGTCCATACTCATTCACGGAGATGCCGCCTTCTGCGGCCAGGGTGTTGTCTATGAGACGATGCACTTGTCGGATCTGCCCGACTACACGACGCACGGCACCATCCATGTGGTGGCCAATAATCAAATTGGCTTCACCACCGATCCACGTTTCTCGCGCTCCTCGCCGTACTGCACGGACGTGGCGCGTGTCGTCAATGCGCCCATCTTCCACGTCAATGCTGACGATCCGGAGGCCGTGATGCATGTCTGCAAGGTGGCTGCCGAGTGGCGTGCTACCTTCCACAAGGATTGTGTCATTGATTTGGTTGGCTATCGTCGCAACGGACACAATGAGATCGACGAGCCGATGTTCACGCAGCCGCTTATGTACCAGAAGATTCGCAAGCACAAGAACTGCTTGGATCTGTATGCTGATAAACTGATTGCCGAGGGCACCGTCACCGGCGAGGAGGTCAAATCTGTGGCCGCCAAGTACGAGAACATTTGCGAGGAGGCGTTTGCGTTAGCCAAGACCGAGACGCACGTCAAGTACAAGGATTGGTTGGATTCGCCCTGGTCTGGTTTCTTTGAGGGCAAGGATCCACTGAAGGTCGCGCCCACTGGTGTCAAGGAGGAGACTCTGATTCACATTGGCAACCGTTTCTCGTCGCCACCACCAAATGCCGCTGAATTTGTCATTCACAAGTGAGTAGCCAACCGCGGTGCCAGCTAACTTGGTCCAACTAATCCACAAACTAATTATCTTTCGCGCAGGGGTCTCATGCGCGTTTTGGCCGCTCGCAAGGCCATGGTTGATGAGAAGGTCGCCGATTGGGCCTTGGGCGAGGCCATGGCCTTTGGCTCCCTGCTGAAGGAGGGCATCCATGTGCGCCTCTCTGGTCAGGATGTCGAGCGTGGCACTTTCTCGCATCGTCATCATGTGCTGCACCATCAGCTGGTGGACAAGGCCACCTACAATTCGCTGCAACACATGTATCCGGATCAGGCGCCCTACTCTGTCTCGAACAGCTCGCTGTCCGAGTACGCTGTGCTGGGCTTCGAGCATGGCTACTCCATGACCAATCCCAATGCTTTGGTCTTGTGGGAGGCGCAATTCGGTGACTTCAGCAACACGGCGCAGGCCATCATCGATCAGTTCATCTCCAGCGGTCAATCGAAATGGGTGCGTCAATCTGGTCTAGTCATGCTGTTGCCCCATGGCATGGAGGGCATGGGCCCGGAGCATTCGTCGTGTCGCCTCGAGCGTTTCCTGCAGATGAGCTCTGATGATCCCGACTACTTCCCACCCGAGTCGGACGAGTTTGCGATCAGACAGCTGCACGACATCAACTGGATTGTGGCCAACTGCACGACGCCTGCGAACTACTATCATATTTTGCGTCGCCAAATCGCCTTGCCCTTCCGCAAGCCATTGATTCTGTGCACGCCCAAGTCGCTGTTGCGTCACCCGGAGGCCAAGAGCCCCTTCAGCGAGATGAGCGAGGGCAGCGAGTTCCTGCGCATCATACCCGACCGCGGACCAGCTGCTGACAATGCCAGCAATGTGAAGAAGGTTGTCTTCTGCACGGGTCGCGTTTACTACGATCTGACCAAGGCGCGTACCGAGAAGCAGTTGGAGAAGGATATTGCCATTGTGCGCGTGGAGCAGGTGCGCCTATCATTAAGTTATTCATCAATTTGCATTTAAATGCATTTTTAACATTTGCAGGTGTCGCCGTTCCCCTTCGATCTGGTCAAGGAGCAGGCAAATCTGTACAAGAACGCCGAGCTCGTCTGGGCACAGGAGGAGCACAAGAACCAGGGCTGCTGGACCTATGTCCAGCCGCGTTTCCTCACCGCTCTCAACCACAGCCGTGATATCAGGTGCGTGCTAACTATTAAGTTTCTATCCAAGCAATACCAAGAGAAACACAGAAATCCGCCCCATGCCACAACAAGTCGCAATCTCTTTACTCTCTCTCTCTCTCAATTTTTCTCTCTGGATTTGTTAGCTGCTCTCTGCAGTTTTTTCTTTTACGTTGGTTTTCTGTGACTTAAGTTTAATTATTTTAATTCAACTGCACTTAATGCACTCTATTATTTATTAGTCACTCTTCTAACTTTCTTACTGTGCATTCTGGCACTCCGTTTTTTTTTTTTTTGGTTCTCTCTCTCTTTACTGAGTTTCCAGTTCTTGCCTTAATATCACATTTGTTTTTTAATATTTAACTCACTCTCATCGCACTCAGCACCTGTCATCGCTTTAGCTAATCTTTTTTCCAGCTTTTACTAATTTTATTTTAAAAACCTTAGCGTGCCCAGAGTCTTTCTACTTGCGATCGTTCTCTCTCTCTCTCTCTCTCTCTCTCTCTCTGTCGCTCGCTCGCTATTTCTCCGGGAAAAGCCTTAGTCTTAGATCTCTTTTTCACACACACACACACACACACAACACACAGTCGCACACCTCTACAATTGACGAATGTTTGAGTCCCGCAGACATTTCCATAAACTTATCCAAAATTGTTGCATTTCGAAAGTGTTCCGCAAGTGAACTAGTTCATTAGCACGAATTGGCTTCATGTGAACCGACCAGACAACGCATACACACACACACACACACACACGCGCGCGCACACACAGATACACACACTCGCACACATCATATCATATATTATAATTTGCATGGCTTTTTAATGATCTTTGATTTTTGATTTATCTCGAACGATTATCGTTTAGTTTTGTTAATTTGTTTTACTTAACTAATGATGTTGTTGAGTATCAAGAATGTTTTGTTCCTTGAATTATCCTTATCCTATCCGTTTGTTTAAGTACCAATTGGCAAAGTAATTCAAATACGTAATATCCAATTAAAAAAAAAAAAAAAAAAAAAAAACCAAGCAAAATCAAACCAAAAACTTGTCCTCTCTCTCTCTCTTTCTCTCTTCTCTCTCTGTGTATGTGTTATTGTTACAGCCAAAGCGATGAACAATCCACCTTCTCCAATACAACTACTACTACTACCACTGATAATACTAATCACGAATCCGATACCGATTCCGATTCTAACTCCGACAAAAAATCGAAACCGTGGCTAAGTCGCATGTTTGCCAGCGATAAAGGTGATACCGTTGCAACGGCGACAAGCGCCACGGGCGAGTTCAATGCCGCCAAGCATTTCGATTTAAAGAACGTACGTCACGATTTCAATAGGCCCGCGGGCGATGCGGCCGCGCCGGGCGTGCGCAAGACAAAAACCGGACGTAAAATTAGGTGAGAGGGCAGCAAATCAAAGATATCTCGTAATACTACCTGCATACTCGATCTGCGCGTCAATTGAACTACCTACCTAACTACCTAACTATAACTATCTAAATCTAAATCTAAAACTATCTACGATCTATCTAAATCAGCAACCAACTATCTATCTATCTGCAACATAACTCTCTCTCTCTCTCTCTCTCTCTATCTATCTGTATCTGAAGCCTAAATTCGAACAGCTCCCAATTAATCTTGTTCATTTCTATGTTTGCTTCGTCTCTGCCCCCCCTCCAATTTTTGGGAGACTGCATTTTAATTTTAAACACATTACCAATTTGCGTTTCTTGTTTGTTTCTGTTGTTCTCATTCGAGCGCTATTTGGCATGTCTGTTGATTTTTATGGGTTCCACACATCGAATTCATAGGCTATACGACTCCGATACTCTGTCATAAGCCAAAACTAATCCAATCTTTCGCTCTCTATTAATACCTTCCACTATCGAACTTTCTTATCTTAATGCAACTATTTTTGTTTTAATTCATTTTAATTTCTGTTCGTCGCACGCGCATTTTTTGTATGTGTTTTCTTTTGTTTTCCTTGTTTTTTTTTTTTTACTGATATTACGAACTCAACCAAGTACGTAAACCCTACTGATCCAGGAACGTTTCGTTTTGTATGTTTGTTCAATGTTTGTCTTTTAACCAAAACAAACAAACATACACCACCGAATACATATACACTACAGAAAACAATCTTAAAGATCGCCTTTTCTTTGAGAACCCAAAAGACAGACCTTACTTCATTCCAGCTGCTTACATTAAGATCTCAATGGGAAAGAAACTCCTTGTAGACCAAACAGGTTTTATTTGAATATTCATGAATTACACCAACATGCATTATCAATTTTTATTAAGATTTGGGTTTTGGTGTCCTGTTCACAACTTCTGTCCTTGTGTTATCCTAGGGGATTATCCTAGTTCTGCCCCTGGCTATCGAAGTACGCTGCATTCTTGTTTACGCATAATTTCTAATACTGGCTAAGACTCATTTCATGGAACATGCCTGACTAACTGAACTATCAGCTAACTATAATATTAAGTGCATGTTGTCTAATCAAATCAAATAGTCAAAAAAAAAAAAAAATGTTATGTGTACTCACTTTTGATTGTGCTCAAATGGCCAAATAATATTGATTAATATAATCCTGCAATCCTGACTATCTGCAGCTATACTGGACGCGCTTGTGGCGCCTCCACGGCCACCGGATCCAAGGCCCAGCACATTCGGGAGCTGAACGCGTTGCTCAACGATGCGATTTCAACTTAAGGCGTCAACTGGGATATTTGGCTGGCATGATGATTATGAAGAAACCGAAGAGCAGGAAGCAGATGGAGTTGAAATGAATATTAATTATGATTATATATATTTTGTAATAGAAACGTATGCAGACAGACTCTTTGATACGATTTATTTCTGACGAAATTGTTAAGTGCATTGTGTGAAAGTAATGAAATTTTAAATATTAGTTTAGTGAAATTGATGAAAATGATGAGCAAAATCCAACAAGAACACGAAATGTTTAGTGTTTAGCGTTAAAACAAATACAACAAACAAACAAAAACAACAACTGAAATCCAATCACAGTAAATCTTTAAAGTAAAGAATTCAAATTCTAGTAGATAAAATACAAAACACACACACACACAACACACACTCGCAAACATATATATAGAAAGCAAAAACATTTTCAAAATGAATGTAATTTTATTTTACTTTTATGCTTAATATTTATTTTATTGTATTATATATTAATTAACCATCTCAACAACTTATGAATTGCAAGTCCTTGTTGCAAAACGCAAAAGAAAGAAATCATTAAGTGTTTTTGTTTGCCTTTGTTTAAATAAAAGTATATATATAAACATATATATATATATATATATGCGCCGACATATACAAGAATTAGTTGACTAATCAAAGGGGCGGAACAACAATATTTATCAGGGATGTTGCGACTATTTTGCATCGGTTATATTATAAAGTGTATCAACAAATGTAATGGGAATGCTTTAAGTATTTATACTGTCACAATTTTTGAATGTACTTAGAATTAAACGATATATACGATATGCGATACAGATATATACATATATTTTTTGTTGGATTACCTTTTTACATTAAACCAAAAAAAATGAAAAGAATCCCCTCTGCACGATTTGCAGCACTTGTGCTATAATTTATAATGTCTATCAAATGTTATAGTATCCATATAACATAATGCACCCTTTTCTCGCACCAATATATGATATTGAACGTAGAGTGATAATTGAAAACTTAGGCATACAACTTTTCCAACAAAACTTATTGAATAGTTAAAACTTTGACTAACTAACGACCCGCAACTAATGAAAGAGTATGAGTATGTGTGTGTCAAGAACTCAACTTTTAATATTTCTAATGCTAAAAATAAAATAACTCACTTTGCGTCAGCGATAAAATTTGCTAAAAGTTAAAAAGTAAGTAGCATGTTAACAACAAGTTAAAATTTACTAACAAAAAGAAGAGTATGTATAAATCGGTTTATGAATAAAGTATATACACAAATAAGCCTACACATAAGATCTTTGAATGGGTTTACATGTCAAGAAATTACTCACTTAGCTTAAGATAAGCTAAAACTAGAATTCGTAGATAAAAAGTAACCCTGAATGGATTATCTAATAAGCTCAAGCATTTACTTAGTTTTTAGTTATTTTGCTGTGTTTCCTTTGTAAATTGTTAAGTTTATTTCTGGGCCAAGTTTAAAGCCAATTCAAACAAGTTTTACAACTTCGCTCTGAATTGGCCTTAGCTGTTTTTTTTTTTTTGCCCGGCCCGCCTAGTTTATCATAGGAAGTGACGCAGTGCATTTTCCATTTTCCCTGCCATTCTAGCCTATTCTTTTTCTCTTTTCGCAGCACTTTCACATCATGTTGTGTTCCTCTGCCGCCTGCGACGTCCATCTTCCTGTCTGACAACTTGGACAGCACAAATTGGGCAAGTAAAACGTTCACTTTTGGCCAATTTTCACGCAGATGGGCAGCACTGGCCGATGGGCACACATACACACACACACGCACACAGCAATTTCATTGAACATCTTCGAGCGTTTTACTTTACTTTCTAATGAGCGCAGCATTTCTCGTTTTGTGCTGATCGGAACGCCTTGGGCGATAGAAAACAAAAACAAAACCAGCTCCATGTAAGTTGTTAAATTTGCGGCCATAACCTGTTTTGAATTCTTTATTTGCTTTTTTATTGACACAAGTTGTTGTTTTTTTTTTCTTGCCAAAAATGGGCACAGTTAGCAATATTTACCGTTGCCTGGTGAACAGCCCTGCGCAACGCTTGAAAGAACTTCACGCAAAAGCTCTTGCCCGGCTGCATGCTAATTGGCTGTTGTGTTAGCTGCGCAAAGGGAACACCCTGTGATGCGCAGTTGTTGCTGCGCGCATTATTTAGCCTGCAGCGCAGCGCAGTTCGCCTGAAAGCTCTTGCGAGGCGTCAGACTAATTGGCTGCAGTTCAAGCTTTTCAATGCTGCTCTCCAGTCCATTTCTTTTGTATGGTCGCTTCGTGCGCTCTGACCTCCTCGGCATCAAAGCTTCAGCTGCAAGCTTCGTGTCGCTGACGTCGGCAGCATGCGCGCTGCTTTAACTTTAGGTCTCGCTCACTTTTCAGTCTTGTTGTGCCCGCGGACGCGATCGTAAGAAAGCAATAAACCAGCAAACGAAACGGGTCGCAATTGTATTCGGATTCCGATTCGGTGTCGTTTTCGGTGTCGGTTTGTTATCGAAACCAATTGGCATTGTGCAACCGCGTTGTGATTGATCGATTGTGGGGCGCTGGCAATTAAAACAAAAGTAAAAGTGTGCGCCACAAAATGTGGCAAGTGCCACAGCAACAGCAACAGCTGCTCAGCCGGCAACGGGAAAGTGCATACGAATTCGCATAGCAAAGCGTTTGCCTTAAATATAAATACATAATGCGCGCTCGATTTGTATATGAAAAGAAGTCGCATAATTAGATCAGTTTATATAACAGATCCGACACAAAGAGTCGCCTCTGACCAAATAGAGTGTTTTGTTTTGTTATTGTGTCAATCAAAAAATCGGTGTTACGAAACGCCTCAAAATGTAAGTGCATTGATAAGACAAAGCTTTTATAATTAAAAAAGAAAATTCAACTTTTTATTAAGAACATTTTATAGTTAAATATGTTTGTTGACATTATTAATGACTAAATCAGAGCTATAAAAATTATAAGCGATGTGGATAGGGTAGGTTTATTTTCAAAGTGGGGATAAACATAATAATTTTAACAAAGGAAATGCTGTTCCGTTTATTTTTAAGAATACTCCAATTGGAATGAGCGACCTTTTTTTTTTATTGCATTATGCCGATAAAAGTGCGCTATAGCTGCTCTTATCGGACGAACGTTTTCTCAGAAATACACACACACACACACATATATATATAGCTGTGTGTGTGTGTGTGCATATCTAAGTCCGTTTGTCGCTGCCTCCGCTGGAAACGCATGTCAATGGAAACTCTCTGATTCATGCAAATTGTATTTGTTTTTCAGATTTGCTCTGCGTTTATCTGAGCCACTTATTACGCACTGTTATTTGAGTAATCCATGAGATAGAGAGAGGCACACATTTGTAGAAACAACAACAAATTGATTTGTTTGTTTATTCTGGCTTTTTACGCCCTTCTTTGGCAATTTACTTGATTTTAGAAAGCTGCTAAAGACAAATAAAGGTTGGCAACGCGTTTCGACGAAAGTTTTGCGGCTCGTCTGCCCGCAATAGATCAGCTCAGATGATCAGCTGAGCTGATCAGTTAAGCTGATCAGTTGTCCAGTTGAGCAATTGCGGAAATCTCGCCACTTTTTGTCGAGGTGTTTTCACATACATATTTGTAATGCTCTCCCCACACCCTTTGGACGCTTCTCAGAAGCACTTGCTCGTTGTTTATTGTCTTAAGTAATTTAAAAGTTCACTTGTGATGGTTAAAGTTGCATATTTGATTACACTGTGCAACAATAGTACGAGCTAAGAGGAGACTTTAAACTAAATTGTATAAACATTACCTATAAAAACATTTACTCGAATTTATGAAAATCGCATAGAAGGGCGACTATGAAAAGATGAACAAAAAGAGAGAGAGAGAGAGAGAGAAATATAGAGGCAGAAGAAATGAAGACTGTCATTTATGAAAATCGCATAGAAGGGCGACTATGAAATTATGTAGAGATAGGCAGTGGGAAGGAGGAGATGAAGTAAGAGACAGAAATTGAGTATAAGCACAATGTATCAAAGGAATTGAGAGAGTTAAAACAACTTTCTTAAAAGGTCGACTTTCTGTCAGGCTTATATATCAGACTGAGAGGAGGCGAGAGGAGCGAAAGTACGAGGGCGAGGAAAAAGGAATAAAATGAGAGTGAGACACGAAAAAATTTAAGAAATATATATTATAGAAGAGAGATGGAAGCAAGAGTGTATAAAGTATAAGATAATTGAGGGCATGAAAATCGCATAGAAGAGCGACTCCGCAAGTTTAGACAGCGATAGGTTTATTGCGTGCGAACACGTAAGTTTTGTAAAGTTTGTAGCCGAGTGTGTTGTGTTGTGCACACAACAATTTCTTCCTGTCTCATTTAAAACAAGCTAAGCATTATGGCAAATATGTGCAAGAGAGACAAGAGTCGAGTCGAGTGCCTTAACTGGCCAGTTGATGTGTCTGGTAATGTCAATGTAATTCTGTAATAAACCCATTCGCCAGGTTTCCGTTTGCAGCTATGAAAATTTAACCATAATAATATAGTTATGCACACAAATTATATAGTACACACAAGTTGACAACATCTGCCGAGAGAGTTGAGATGAAAATAAAACACTTTCCATTTCCATCGGGCGATGAAAGCCAATGCGAATGGGAACAGCTCGTGTGCACACAGCTTCTTCTACATATTATTGTTATTATTATTAACTTTATTATTATTTAGCTCATGATTTGCATAACAATTTGTTACCAGATATGCCAGCATTATTGTTACGTTTGCCCGCCGCATAATTTGGCCACAACGTGGGTGGGTGGGTCTTGGCCCAAAGTATTCGGATAATTGTTCGTAACACGAACAATTCATAGTTTTTCTTTATCGTATCTCACAGATGCACATAATTTGTAGGTGGGCGTGCTGACTCAACGTTCAGTTTAAGATCAAATTGGGTTTATGCTAACGATACACTGGAAAAAATAGGGTGTCTAAAGTTTTAAAAGCTATGAAAGTTAGAGGGCTCTAGTCGGATCTGTCTGATTAGGGTATATAAAAATTAAAGATACTTTTCTAGAGGCTACAGTTTAAATTTGTTGAGAGTAGCCCTTAAAACTTTAGAGATTTGCTCAAAAAACAAGATTTCGATAGCGATTTTGATCGATTGCTTGGAAACGGGGCTAGCTATCGATTGTGGGAAACAAATTCATACTGAGCGGGCTCTGAGAAAAGCTAAGTTTAAGAGTCTCAGGTGTCTAGCTCTTGCAGGTTCTGAGATGGCTAAGTCGACTCAGTTGACCAGGAATATATATATATACCTTATAGGGTTGGAGATGATTTCTTCTCTCTGTTACACACACAACCTTTGCATTAGATTCAGACCTTAACCAGACTGTATTAATTTAAAGAATTTTATGCAAGCCACATAAACAATATGGTTTTAATTTAACAATAAATTAAAAGTAAGTCAAAGCACGTACGCGTATGCGAAAGTTAAGATTAAAGACAAAACAAAATTTATTACATATTCCATGTAGAACAGCGTCAAGAAGAATTCAGTTTCAGTTGATTTGAGTTAAGATTAAAGACAAGATGATATGTAACAAATGTGGTCTATAAGAATGCGAAACATTTCGCTTTACTTCATTTTTCTGTTTGAAAATGTCAGATTCATTGCATTTTCCTGAGTTAAGATAAAAGACAGCATGATATGTAAGAAATGTGCTCTATAATAATCTAGCTTAGTTCTGGTAAATTAAAGACTGAGTAATCTGTACCAAATGTGTTTTATAATAATTCCGTTGAGTTTATGTTTTTTCCCCGAGCTTGGCGATTGTAAATTTGGGAATATATGAGGTTCTTTAGCTGAGTGTAGATCCCAATCCAAACTGACCCGGTTTTTTTTCTCGCTCGGTTTTAGTTTGATTTTTTACTTTGTGGTATGCTGCTTTGAGGGGCATTCCTGTGGCTCTGACTCATGCGGCACATGCCGAAGAAAGTGTCAAGTGGACCATGCTGGACCCAAGAGCTGACGCTACCAAACCCGTTCGATTACAGTGCCGCACAAAAGTCTGTCGCCACGCACGTGTCGGCCGTTCGGCGCGCTCTCCACAATTTTGGATGCCTGGCAAATTGTGGCTGGCAATGCATTTGTTGCGCCAGCCAATGAACTTTGCCTGCGAATGTTTAAAACATTTCACATCAGCAGTTTTTTAGCCCCCCCCCCCCCCCCCCCCCCCCCCCACTCACTGCCCCTCTCCTTAACTAAATGCATATGTCTTTAGCTGGAAAAACACGTAATTGCCGCGAATTTCAACTAGTTTCTGACATCGCAAGTGTTTCGCTGAACAGTGATCGGTGATCAGTGATCAGTGATCAGTGATCAGTTATTGATCATCGCCCGTTTTTATTCTTTTTCGCAGTTGCCAATTTATGTTCGAATTTTGTGAAATTCCGCATCGATTTTTTGTTTTGTTTCTCCGCTCATTGTTATGCATTTGGCATTTGGTTGTTGCAAGTCGTGCGACACTGATTTCACATTGAACATGTTTATGGCATTCTATATAGTTCAATGTTGTACATTTTGGCAGCTGCGAAACGGTGTCGGGCTCGTGGGCGACTCGCCGTCCCAAAATGTGGCCCAGAGAGTTCAATCAACGCCAAGTTTGCCAAAGATGAGCTCAGGTTTTTTTTTTCTTTCTGTTGTTGTCCTCTAATCTAGAAGAGCGTGTGCTTGGAGAGGGTATTGTTCAGTTTCAACTATTCACAATTTGGCTCAAATGTTATTCATATGCATATGAATCGAACCTTGAACCTACATGAGTAGCCCGTAAAATACTAAAATAGTTGCTATCTTCAGCACGCCGAAGTTTGAATACCCTTGGCTTGAGGCTTTGTGAGCAACACGAATATCAAGTTTGATTGAGATTAACTTGAATCACAAAAGAATTGTTAATTCTATGATAGCTCTATGATATAGTGATTCGATCTGTCTGAGATCTTTGGATCCATGCAGATATCTTTAAGCTCGAGGCGTAATATATATAGATACATTTCGAAGCAGATCTAGAGTATATATACAACTTATGAGGTCGAAGATGTCTTCTAGACACATTTCATTATAAAATTCGAATACTCTTTTATTCGGTTAGGGCTTTAGAAATTTGATTCGTTCCGTAACTTAAAATGTATCTTAGCTTTTGCGAGATAAACTACGAATACTTTCCAAACAAATCTTACTTTGAGTAGAAAATGCATACAAGAAACTGTTCAGGAGCCTGCGAGGCTTATGTGTTCGAGAATCGAACCGCCAAGCGAGAGGTGTCCGGTTCAAATCCAGCTGTAAACCTTTGATACACAGCACACGATCGAAGGATCAAACCGGCGTCTAGAAAAGAAATGTTATCATCAAAATTTTATATTATTATAAGGGTATAGGGTATTTGCTGGTCAGGCTGACTCAGCTTGTTGCCAGTTGCTTACTCAGCTATTAAATTCCCTGTGACGTCTGATTGAAACCTTTTTGCTTTTGCTTTTGATTTTGTTTCCCTCGTTAAGTTAGCCCCACGCGCTCGTTAGCTGATATTTGGCATTTGCCGACTTTCCTCTCGATTTACCTGTTGCGATATGGTTTGGCCAGAGTTAACTGATTAATCACGAATCATCGAGCGACGACCGCGTGAAGTACGTGGCACGGTCTCGCTGCGCATTCGACGCAGATCACGTTCAAATTAGACCCCCTCTCCCGGAGGGGGGGGCAAGGTCGGCAAGAACGGAGAACTGAGCTACAAGTGAAAATTTGCCATTACGAATTTGAGCTATCAGATTTCATATTTCCACTTGCATTTCCATCCCCCTTTCCATTTCCATTTCCATTGCATGCGACATTTGGAAAGTCGTCTCGCTCTCAAATCTCAAAGTCTCTGACATCAGCCGCCAAATGAGTTCTGCCAGAAACTAACTAGACCAAAGAAGTTGGCGCTAGAAATTATGCGCCAAAACGCACCGAATCCCAAATACCCTGCACTAAAAATGTCTGAAGTATAGAAAACTTGTGGGAAATTTAACAAATAGACAAATATCTTATAGCAAGTCAGCGTGCTGTTGTAGAGTATGCCCGACTAGTAGATGCTCTGTTTAATTTTAGAATCGCGTTTTGAGGTTAGGTATGCCAGCAAGATATAACTAGCTCTTATGAGCTCCGAGATATGCTTGGAAATCGATAATTATCGGTTTTAAGAAAATGAGGCAGATATCTAAAAAACTTGTAAATATCCCAAACAATATTGATGTCGGATTTGCGTTTAGGTATTCCAGAAGTGAAAGATACCCTCTTATAAGCTCTGGAATATATTAAATAGGTTGTTAAGATATCGATATTTATCGATTTAAGAGAATAGGGCATATATTTATTGTGAACTAGCAGATACCCTGTATAATTTTGGAGTGGGACTTAAGGTTAGGTATTCCGGAAGTCAAAAATATATCTAGATTTAAGAGATACTCCGAGATTTGGTAAAACAAATGCGATTAAAAATCGATATTTATCGATTTATTGTTTATTTATCGATAGACATCGACAACATATTTTCTGGGCATGATATTCAAGCTCCTTTGTTTCTGATTCAAAGGCTTAAGAGATCGTCTTAGTAGAGAGATACTAAATGCGATAAACCCCATAGGAATAGGGTATATAGAGGCCCACTTTAGCAGTGGAGGAAAGGGAAGCTGCTTATTTCTAGCCAGGGTACGCGTGTTCGTAGTATTTCGTCAGTCGAAAATTGTGTCGATAATTACAGTGTTTTTTTTTTCTTCTCTCTCTCTCTCTTAATGTGCGCGTGGAGCAACTGCTGCGAGTGGGCAACGGGGCGTGGCACAGTTGGAGCGCCCACCTGATGCAAATTACACGTGAGCCGCAGCAAGGGGGCGGGGCAACAAGTGTGGGGCAAATGCAATGCTACTGTCGTTTGCCGCTTGCCACATTGCTGTTGGCTCATAAATAGACGCTGTGGCAGATGAAACTGTGTCCCCTACCTGCCCCTCTCCCCCCTTCGCCAGTCCACCTGTTGCATTGGGTTGCAGCCGCTGACAGGCCCATGTTTGGCTTGTTGTTGCCGCCTTTTTTTTTGTGCGCTGCATTTTGAATTGAATGAAAATGAAAACCAGGTTTGCGGGTCGCCGCAGTTTGGGGCTTGCGAAATGTTCGCACAGCTCGTTGGCATTGTCTTGGTTTTTGTTTTTGAACACAGACACAGTTTGATGCGCGGCATTGTTGCTGATAAGCGGCTGTTAAATGCATTCCAATATTTTGGCCACCATAATAACTTTAACAGCGCTGCATGGTCACCCTAAACAGCGCGCTTGAAATGCGTCTCGCTCGCACACACGCACACACATCGAAACAAACAGCAAAAGCAGTAAAATGTTAAATTGCCTTTGCGCTTTCTTGTGTTTTTGTTTTTGTGCGCCGTTTGCTTTGTGCTGTTGTTCGTTGAACTTGGCAAGAACTTGCGACTCGAACGGGTATTGAGTTTTTGTTGTTGTGTTATTTGTTTTTATCGGGTCTTCAGCGCGCGCATGTGAGTGTGTGTGTGTGTGTGTGTGTGTGCATTTTTTTGGTGTTTGGCTTTCGTCACAAACGAAAAGCAAAACCAAAACTAAAGCCAAAACTTGTTTCCGTGCGCGTCTCTAATGGGATTTACGCCAATTGTGCAGACCATTCCACAGGCCTGAGATGAGGTGTGCAAGTGAGAAGGCAACAGGCTTTAAATCAATTAGAGTGGCCAGCGTCTTAATTAAAAATTTGTTTAGCTAATTAAAACGCCGCTGCCCACAAGCCAAATGCCAATGAACGCTGCTGCCACAAAGAACAGGCGCTGTTTAAGTGACTTCAACTTGCAACTTGCAACTTGCATCCGCCAGCGCGCGCAGCTTCACCCAAGTCGGCAGCCGCTTTTGTGGGTCGTTGACGAAGACGAAGGCGGCGGCGGCGGCGGTGGCGTTGCATGCATCGCATACTTGTGGAGAAATGCAGCGCAGCCAGCAGCAAGCAGAGCAGCATAAGAATCAGAACAAAATGCAGCCAATGCACAGGAATGCGAAACGGCGCGACGCAAGCGAAGCCATCGATGCTGTCGCAGCGCAGCTGGCAGCGACGTCGCTGCTTACGTCGCAGCTCGTACAGCGACCACCTCGGCTCAGCTATTCAGTTGCCTCGCAGTCGTTCGACGGGACGGTCGCTTGTGTCTCGCTCTCTCGTTGTACGTGTGTGTGTTCGCTGTCATGAGCTGCGCGCGCGCCTAAGCTCTTCACTTGTGTTAATGTCGTCTCTTGTGTTTGGTAAAAAACAAAAAATAGATATGTTGTGCATTAATCAAAGTAATCACAATTTGGCACACACATTTGGGCTGTGTATGCGTGTGTGTGTGTAAGGTGAAACGAAAGTGGCTGGCAAAAGTGAAACGCCCACAAAATCAAATTAAGCCAAGAATCTAGCCAAACCACTTGGCTAAAGCCCACATATAAAAATAGTTACAACAACAACAACAACAACAGCAGCAGCAGCTTCTGCACAAAAATTTCACCAAGAACAGGCTGTGCGTGTGTTTGTGTGTGTGTGTGGGGCCTGCCAAGCCTGCCAATTCGAGCGCCTGCAAAGTGTTATCTTTTTTTTTTGCATGTTCTCTTTTTCTACCGCGCTGTGGATTATATATGTATGACATCTGCTGCTGCTTCTTCTTCTGCTCATACAGCTGTGGCCCGACTTAATGGTAATTAAATGCAATGCGGCTTTTGCTTTTTGGTTTTGCTCTTTTTTTTCTTCTGTTCTTTAACTGTAAACTGCTTAGCTTTGACGTTTTTTTTTTGTTTTTTTTTGTTCTTTTTGTTGTCTGTTTGGCCTCAGAACTGACCTCTGCGCCTGGCCTATGGCTAATGCTGGCCATGTTGTGCCTACAGCTGAGATGGCTCATCTTACGGTTAAGCGGCGCAGCTACCGTTAATTGTGCTCATGTGAAGCACAGAGAGACAAAAAAAAACAAAATGAAACAACAAAAAAAAGGAAGAACAGCTAACTTCGGCATGCCGAAGCTTAAATACCCTGGCAAAGACGTTTTTATACAAAATTATTCCCGAGCGACGGCTTCTAAAGGAGCTATTTGATTTAGTAATGTTTTATATATATAGAGATATAAATGGGTAGGATCGTGTTAATATTATACGATCTCCAGTAAAGTTATTATTAACTTACTTGATATATATAAAAAAAACAATCAAATCTTTCTAGAGCAAATTTTAAATATATCTTAGATATATAAACTTTACGGCCTTTGCGTCATCTTCTTCTATGCGTCACACAGTTCATCACAAAATGAAAATAGCCTCGAATGTAGGGTATAACAACACAACAAGAAGCAACAATAACTTTAGTTTGCCAATGCTGCACGCTAATTACACGCCTCTGTGCTTTATGCGGTCTCCCAGACTACCTTCAGCGGCTACTTGGCAACAACCTACCCTCCTCCTCCTCCTCCCAACACACCTCTACACACCTGACGCTTTTTTTTTGCGGTTCTTTGCAGTCTGTGAGAGTTGCCACAAAGCTTGGAATGCAGTTAATATGCATACAAGTGCATTAGCTTCATAGTATATATATTATATAGATATAGAAATGCCTCTGGGTCCAAGTCAGCGGCAGAAATTGATTTGCTGCCAAAACTTTGACAGCAGATAAGCTGCATTGGTATTGGCCAAAAGTCGAACTGTTAATATTATAACAAATCTGACTAATTAGTTAATGTAGTGCACCATATGCGTGGCCCAAACAAACCCAAAGTGACTAATGCTCAGCGGCCTTTATCAGTTAAAAGGTAAATATATATATATATATATATATATATGTATATATATATATTTGTAGGTGCATTTATATAGAAGCTATAATAATTTCGAAATGCGGTTCTGTGCAAGAAGTTTTTTATGCTTATCTAATGCGCACGAGCTTTAATCAACCCCGAATTCCCTTGTTCCACATTGCGTACTCAGCGAACTCTGAAATCAACATAGCTGCAGTTACGAAATTTGGTAGGTAGACTCATTTTATAGAGGTGTTAAAAAATATGTACAAATATGTATGTGCACATTAGAAAAAGTCAGATGGAACCTAGAAGAGCTAGAGTTGGCAAATTTGGTATATTATAACTGGAAGAAGGGTTAATAAGTATTAGCTAATAATTTGAAGATTTTAACAATTTCATTAGTCAGACATTAGGTTATTTGCTATTTGTATAGGGCTTCAAGTTGAGTTTACTTGCCAGCCAAAAAAAGGTAACTGGTTCGAACCAAAGCTCTAGCCCTAGACCTGATTGAACTGGAATATGATTAATGAGTAATATCTTTTAGTTTTAAGATATATACAGTATTTTATACTATGTCGAAAATAGACACAAGCTGCTGTCTCATGGATCTCAGAGGCTACAAAAGCTGGAGAGGGGAAATTTGGTATATAACTTTTGAGAATATTATAATCCATTCAATATTCTTCCGTATATAGTATATGTGCATTAATTTAGTTAATTGAATTTGCCTTTAGCTAGGCGAAATGGCAAACATGAGTTGGATGAATGAAGACTGAAAACGGACACGAATAACGCAAATACAAAGCAGGCACTTCAATAATTCGCACAAAGGGAGCCACAGACAGACGGACGGACAGACTGACAGATGGACAGACCGAATGGGCATATGTCATGCAAATAGAAACAAACCCTCGAGTGGGCACTATGAAAACTATCGACCCAAGACTTCCACCTCAATATATGTATATATTTTTGTTTGTTATTTGTTTACGCTTGTTTAATGTGTTGCAAAGCATACGCCGTGTTGACCAGCCCCAACGTGTGGCATTGACTTAGTTAGGGTTGAATTTCTGCCATTTCTAGGGGTTGGTTGAGGCGCCTTTCATGCGGCTCGGGTGGTTGCATGCAATGGATTTGTTGCCCAGGCAACCGGCATAACAAAATACCAAATGCAAGCTCAAAACATAAGACAATAAATACATTTCAGTCAAAGGTCCTTGTGATTTGCTCTGGCATGTGTTAAGTGTGATGTAAATGTGTTTATCGGCAAATAAAATCACATTAATAAATGTAGAAAATTCGGTTTATTTAAATTGAGTAAGTTCAGTTTAATTTACTGCAGAATTAACCAACGTACTGCTGCTTTTTTACAATTTCAACATCCCTTTTTCACCCATTTTCCACCCGTCATGATTTGTGGTTCAATTCCACCCCAAATGGTTAAAATATGTGAAACACGTTTCTATTGAGATTTCATATAGATTCTTTAAAAGTTTGTGTGAAGGGCAACGGATATATATTGTCATGCCCAGCTTGTTTTTGGCCTTGGAGTGTATTATATGGAATATTCACTTTTTATTATATAAAGCCTTAAAAATACTTTTTATACGGATTGCATTATATTGCGCTCTTATAGTAGAAATCTTATATGTCAATCGTGTATGATGTATATGAATAACACGTTCTGTTCATGTTAACATTGTTAACATATTTAGTTTCCAAATAGAGGCATGATCTGTTAGGGTCAACTCTGTTAACAGCTTTCCTTTTCACTTGGATGCATGCTCTGTTAATGTTAACTCTGTTAACCAATTGACTTTTCAATTGAAGACACGCTCTGCTAATGTTAACATTGTTAACAGCTTTATTTATAAATTGGAGGAATTCCAATCTAATGCAATTAATAATCGATTAAAGTTAGTTTCTTAAACATAAGTGTTTGATTTTCCCCTTCCGTAATACACACACACAAAAACAAAAGAAAAAATAAAATAAATGGAATTCATTATCAGGCAATTTGGTGGCTCATTAAAAACGCTTCTTAAGATCGTGACGAAATTTTCACTAAATCTTTTGCCGAGACAGTTCATTAGCTTGCCGCCGAAATAGTCAAAGCGACTAAAAACAAAAGGCCGCAAAGAAAAAGAAAAGTAAACTTTCACATTTCTAATGGGATGTCTCTTCTTCTTCTTATTTCTATTTAGCTACACATAAATATCTACATAAATTCTCATTGAATTAATTTCTAGAAATTTCAATGCATTTATCGTTTATCGCTTTGGTGAATAATTCCAATTTATCGCGCCGCGTCTTCCGCATTCATTCGCATTCAGCAGCAGCTTATCGGGCCATTTCTTCTTCTTCTTCTTCTTGTCTTAGCCATTGCGTGTCCAATCGACGGTTCTACTCGAACAATGATAACTGTCATTGGCCAGACATTAGGCTAGCTGCAGCTAGCTATTTGTGTTGGGCTTCAAGTTGACGCTGTTTTCGTTGTGTTTATTAACTTTGTCACTTTCACCTTAACGTGAATTTGTCAATGCAACTAACTGTAAAAATCTCACTAAAATTATGACCAGTTTTTTTTTATATATACTTATATTGCAAACGGATGTCTCAATAAATATAAGCCATCTTGCGTCTGTTTATGGGCCCAGCTGGCGGTGCATCTTTTCGAAAGGCATTTCCATGCAACTGACAAATGCAAATGCATTGCTATGAAATAAATTAGCCCAAGGTTAGAGGAGTCGGCCAGCAGATACCCTGTAGGCCGCTTCAATATGGCATCAAATCGATTATATGAGAAGTCAGCCTGTAGAAAAGTCGATGAGAATAAGTACATATATTTATGTATGCATATACGATTCTTTGGGGAAAAGTTGCCATATAAAGGTAAGATTTGCCCTAAGCATTAAATATACATACATAAATATATATACTTATTATTTAATTTCGATTCTGATAGGCTAACATGATATAACTTTTGCCCCTTTAAAGTAGTTTAATCGAAAATCCTAACTTTAAATGCGCTTAAGAACAAGATGTTATTAAAAACAATTTGTCTGATCTGCCCGCAAAAGAAAAGTTGCTGGTTCGAAGCACAGCGAACTTGTTGCCATATAATTTATCAATCCAGAAGTGTCAGCTCTCCAACTTAGCCTCGGCGTAAGCATGGCCTACTCTGTGGCTATTCAAATGCTTGCAGGGTATTTAAATATATAGAAAAGGTGTCACAGCTGCAGGTGCAGCTCTCCATATAGAGTGAGAGTCGCTTTAGAGATTTGCCAGACTTTTGTTTTCATTCCCATAACTTGATGCATTCGCATTGTTTACATATTCCATTTTCGTTTATTGCCGCAGTTTAAAATATGCAAAGCATTTTGTTGTTGCTTTTGTTGTTGTTTTCTGTTTCATTGTGTATTGGCCGGGCCAAAAAGTTGTTAACCTGGCCTTAGTTTTCAGCCGTGTGACATTGGCGTCTCGCGTTCAAAAATGGCATCGACTAACGCTTCAAAATCAATTTAAATGCGACGCGCCATCAAAGATTTATAAACTAATTCAATTTCAGTTGATTTTGCATGCTAATTCCAAATAATTTTGGTGTCTTTTCTGGCCAATGCAAATGTATGGACAGAATTTCATTAGATCTTCGAAATTCCCAGGCAAAGATCGGAATCGATATTTATATATGTGCATATGTGCATATGTGTATGTATGTGTACAGGCATGGGAATACACACAGTTAATTTGTCTATGAAATTTTCATAAAATATTTATTTGTTTTCACACTCAATAAACATGATATTTGATGTCAAATAGGTTTTTCTATAGGCCCAAATGAAGCCGGCAAAATGGAAAATGTGGCTAATAAACGTTTGCGTAATCAACAATTTTTAGCTTCTTATTTACATTGCAAGTGTGTACATATGTGTGCGTGTGTGTGTGTGTCTGTGTCTGTGCCTGGCTCGTATTTAATATTTTGTTTAAATACCATTTGCCATAGCGCAAAATTATTTTGTTATTCGCAACGCGTTCATCGCAAGTGCTGACAAGCAGCTGGCATTGCCACAAGAGAAGGTGGAGAATGGGTAGAGGGGAGCTGAGGGGCTCTCACAGAAGCTACGACAAAAGCTAACAAAAGCGGCTTAAAAAAAAACACAACTATTTTTACGACAGAGGAAAGAAATTTTTGCTTTTTATGTAATCGCTCATTATAATTGGCATTTGTGTGTGACAAAAACGTGCGCGGGTCGAGCCGCAGAGGCGGACAGACGCAGCGGTGGGCGGGGCAGCTGCTGGCAGCAACGTGTGCGGCACTTGGGCAAGCATTTTATTATATTTTTCTATATATATATTGTTAACTGCGCGCAGAGCTGTCGATAAGATCGAGTTGCCAAAAAAGCATATCACGCATACGCAATGTTGTGCGCGCACAGCGTGTGTGTGCGAGTGTGTGTGAGTGTGTGTGCAACTAAAACCAGGTAAATGTGGCATAAGCACAGCTTAGTTTGATTCAACCAACGACAATATAAAGACTTACATTTTATATTGTCTTGGGTTCAACTGTTGCCAAAAATTGCGCATACGCAGCGTTGTTTCATTCGCATGTGCAGGCAAAATTTGGCAACACGCTTTAGCTTTAATTTTACAACAGCCTTCAAGCTGTGACTCTAAAACTGTAAGAATTAAAGATTTGTTTCCATTTGCTTGGCATTTTGTATGTCAAAGTTGAAGATCTTTATTGGAGAAACGAGAATAAAAATTTTCCTTTTTTTTGAGAGACAAACATTGCAGAGAACTAACATAGAACTCTTTACTCTATACGAAGATGGAAAATAACACGATTATGTTCTGCTTAAATAATTAATTAAACATATAAATATTTATAGAAATATAAAAATATTGCTCGAAACCAATACGCAATGCAATCCGTGCAATTTGAACAACAATAATATCTTATCTTCTTCTCGGGGCTTATTCATAATAAATTTCTTTTTAATTTGACTCAGCCTTCGATTGTTATTATCTTTTATCAATATTTATAGGCCACTTATTAAAGCGCTTCTGTGTTTAAGCCCCACTTTATATTTTATTTTCGTTGGCTGTTTGAGCAGCCGAGTGGCTCATTTCCTGCCGCATCTGTTCCATATGAGCCTGCCTCGTCGCATTGTGTGCACAAAGCATGCCACGTTAATTGCCGCGCAGCCTCCCCCTTTCGAGCCAACTTTATGCTTGAGCCGCACACAATTTGCATACGTGAAGAGTTTGGCCACTCGATTTGGAGATATTTCAACGATTTTTATGCGCTTTCTCCGTGCAGCTGCTGTCTCGCTTTAACTAATGCTCGCTCTCTCTCTCTGTTTTTTTTTTAGGCCTCGAGGCGGCAGCTTCCATGTGAATTGGCCATTGGTCGCCGGCCAAGACAGACATAATCACAGCCATGCAGTTGTCAGCGGACGTCATGGCGACCTCATCTGGTGCGCATCTCGATGCGGCAGCAGCTCGCTGCGATCTCAATGGAAACGCAACAACAACAACAACAACAAAGACGTCGCCGCGTAAAGAAAAGACAATACTCGGTTGGCTGGTGAAAAGTGCAAGTGCAAGCGATAAATCGAACGATAACGATAACCAAAACGATAGACTCAACGATAATTACAATCGAGGCAACAACAACAACAACAGTTGCAATTGTGAAACGCGAGCATTTCGCGATTTCCGCGGCGTCCAAACGCTGCGTCTGCTCTGGAGCAAGCGCATCAGCAGCGCCAGCGAGGAGGCAGCCGCTGCCCATCAACAGCAACGGGTTCAGGTGCAGGGGCTGGGCACGTTGCGGAAGCTAAACAAGTCGGTTAGCTGTTTGGTGAATGCGTTTAATAACGCGCGCGATTGGCCCAGCCTGACGAACGCGCACGAAACGCGCGCAAAACGCGCCGCTAGCTTGCACAATCTGCAAGAGGCGCCGCCGTTGACGTCACCGCCACAGCAACTCCAACGTGACAAAGATAACTTCTACAAGTACAAAAACGCCGAACAGGCCAAAATGCAAAATAAGCTGCGACGCGGCAGCGACGCGACTGCAAACGCGAGCGCGACTTTTCCCGCAGTTAAGGCGGGCGGCGCGGCGGGCGAGCGTTTGCAGTGGCCAAAACGTGAGGACATCGTGAGCAAGTGCAGAACGGAGCACGAGCGCAGTCTATCAGATAATGAGCATGACTGCGAGCGGGAGAGGGAGAGGGAGCGGGAGCGTGAGCGGGGCCAGGTGAATCTTATCAGCGCTAGACGTGAGCAAGCAGCAGCTGGAACGTCGGCGATTCGCATTAGTTTGAGCGCGACGAGCTTCGATGGCGGCAGCAGCGAGTCGCTGCAGACGGTGAATTCCATAAATTCCAATACCACGACAAGCACCGCCGCGACCGTGACGTCACGCGCTGCGGGCACGCGTCGCAAATACAGCTTCAAAACACATGCGGGCAAATCATTCCATCAGCACCACACGCCGCGCCGCATGTCCAGCCACAGCCATAGTCACAGTCACAGCCAGGGCGCAGAGTCTGGCCACGCCTCCGCCTCCGGCTCGACGTCGGGCGTGGTGCGCCAGCTGACGCAGCAGTTCAATGAGATCATACAAAAGGATGCCCGCCTGCTGGAGCAGGTGAAGCGCAACAATGGCGTCTGGCTGGCGCGTGGCGCTCATGTCTACAAGATCGTGGAGAAGCCAGCCGTGCAGCAGGCGCAATCGGAGCAGGTGCAATCGGAGCAGGCGGCGCAATCGATGCGCAGTTCCATGGTGCAGCGCAACATCAAGAAGTTCGAGAAGCTGGAGAAGCCAGCGGTGCCGCTCAAGCCGCAGCAGCTGCTGCTGCGCAAGCATCAGGAGCAAATGAGCCAAAGACCCAGCACGCTCAGCCTCAGCAAGCAGATGCGCAGCAAGCGTGCCCGCAGCCAGCAGCAGCAGCGCGAGCAGCGGGAACAGAAGGCGGTGGAACAGGAGCTGGCGGTGGTGCGCGAGGAGCTGGCCAAGACTCCAGTGGAGCTGCATGCCAGCACGGACGAAGGTGTGCAATCGGATGTGGACGCGGATGATGCTACAAAACCAAAGCCCGCTGACTCAGCGCTGACTCAGACGCTGCCCGCCGACGATGAGCTGGATGATGCGGACAGCGCGGCGGCGGCAGAGGAGCGGCAGAAGCAGCGCAAGCACAAATATGCCACGATCTACGAGAAGCTGCGCTTCCTGCCCTTTGCCAAAGGCGGCAAGAAATCCGCAACGCCTTCGCCCCACAAAACAGCAGCTGAGCAGAAGGAGCCGGAGCTGGAGCCGAAGCCGGAGCCACTGCCCTCACCCTGCGTGGAGGCGGACGCCAAGATCCTGGCCGCACTCGAGGTGCTCGACCAGAAGCTGAAAATACTCGCGGATCCGCCGGCCAAAACGGCGGACGGGGAACTGTTGCTGGCGGCCAACGATGACTTTGAGCAGCGCCTGCTGCCCAACAGCTCGTTCATCTACCAGGCGGCCAACAAGCAGATCTCCAACAACCAGCTGCTGCTCAACCAGGCGGTGAACGTGACCCTGGTGAATGCCATTGAGGGCGAGCAGATGATCATGGAGCAGAAACAACTGGCCGCCGAGGAAGTGCAGCAGCAGCAGCTCGAGCAGAAGCTGGAGCAGCAGTCGAGGCGGCAGCTGCAGGCCGAGCCGGAGGAGGAACCCATGTATGAGCCCATCACGCCCACAATGGAGATCAAGACTGAGCCGCAGGCGTCGAGCCTGTTTAAGTTAACAAGCCAAATGCTTAAGGAGCCGGACGCAATCCAGCTCCCAGTGGAGGACATCTATCAAACTGTGGAGGAGGCAACAGCTGTGCCAACTCCGGCCACGCCCACAGGCAACAGCAACTGGCTGGAGGGCTACGAGTCCATTGCGGGCTCCACGCGGAACAGCAACAGCGATGACTACGAAGCCTTTGCCACGCCCACAACAACTCCGACTACAACAACAACATTAAGCACCGGCACACTGGGCCGGAATACGCGCGACGAGCTGCCGGAGCTGCCCAAGCCAAAGCGTGTGCTGCCCAAGTCGCCGCTAATCCTGCGACCCGCGCCCGCCAAGCCCGCGCAGCCGAGTCGCTTGGCCGGCAAAGCGTGCGCCGGGCCCGCCTCCACGGATGAGGATGAGGAGAACATCTATGACACCATCAAGGGCTGTACGGACGCCATCTCGTTGAGCTCCAATTGCTACGAGAGCATCTCCAACTATCGCAAGAGCAAGAATTCACCTGCACCTGCAGTGGGTGTGGTCGTGGCAGCGGGTGTGGGCGTGGTCGCGGGCTCAACTGCGTCCGGCGTGCAGCTGTCCAGCAGCGGCTCCACGCTGACGCTCGCCTCGGATCATCGCACGAACAGTCTCTATGAATCCTCGCTAGCTGCAGGCGTGCTCTACGGCAGCGCCAGCGTCGGCTGCCGCAGCTCCTTGGCCAGCAGCGGCGCCGGCAGCGCCGGCAGCAGCGGCGCCGGCATCGTCGGCGGCGGAGGGGCGGGCAAACAGTGCGACAAACGCTCCTCGATAGCCGGCTCCAGCGACAACAGCGATGCCTGGGTGGACATATCCGACGGAGAGGCGACGGCAGCGGCGTCTGCCACCAGCGAGGCGCAGTTCGTTGTGTAAGTAAAGGGGCGGGGGCGGGGGCGGGGTCGGGCGGGGGAAAGGTGATTGCGATAAGAAATTCTGCGTAGATTGCTGATAAGGTTTGTTTGGATTTGGCTTATCTTATCGGCAACTGCGGCTTGTTGGCAATCGCATTCAATTTGCTGTCGGGCTGCACGTCGAGGGTTGCCCGAAAATTGCGACACGCTTCACATTTCCAGAAAATATCATAATTAAAATGCATAAATAAATAATGCCTGGAGAGAAAGCGGGTCAAGGCAGCTGGAAGACAACGTAGAACTCGTTCAGCTCTCGACGTTTGCGCCGGCTCAGCATATAGAAAATCGAATCAAAGGCGATTAATAGCCAAGGCGAAACGCAAAATCCAAACTAAATGCTCAACAGAATTCAGGCTAAGCTCCAATTGTTGTCAGAGCCGAGAGACCCTGAACCGAGATCAGCCCGTTGATTGACTAACCTTTGATTTTCCTGCTTTTACCTAGTTGTGCAATTGCAATTCGTTTTTAAAATACCTTTTTGCGTGCTTTCGTATACAGTCTGGCTGATAAGATACAAATCAATCGAGATTAGGTATATATATAAGTCTATATATAAATTACGAATACAATCGGGCGTGTAAAACATCACAATTCTGAGTCATTTAGCATTCGATTGTGATCAAAAACCAATTTAGTTTGAAAAGGAAATACCTTTCCCTGAAATTTGAATACATATTTGGGGCTAACTGATAAAAGTTGGAATATCTCAACTCAGTAGTAAGTGTATTAGCATCTAGAGCACTTCTTCTTCTGTTCTTCTCAAGGGGACCTCTCTTTTACTCTCTCTTTCTTTCTCAGCCTCGCTCTCATTGGGCTTCTCTTATATTTGTAATTATCAATATCTGTATATATAAACTGCATTTATGAAAATCGCATAGAGAGGTAGCATTCCCTTTCCCTGAAATTTGAATTCATATTTGGGGCTAACTGATAAAAGTTGGAATATCTCAAATCAGTAGTAAGTGTATCAGCATCTAGAGCACTTCTTGTAATTATCAATATCTGTTTACATAAGCTGAATTTATGAAAATCGCATAGAGAAGTAGCATTCCCTTTTACTCAATCGCTTATTCGCTCCATTTCCCTCTCTTACCCTATATTCAATGAATTTCTGTTTTCCTCTCTCTCCTCTCTCTGTCTGTCACGCATTCACTTTCCAGTTAATTGAATGTGAGTTGTAGTTAGCAAATATTTTTCAGAATGTGAGTTAGTAATAAACTAAGTACAGGGTATTTGCCTAACGAGTTCTCTCGATTAAAGCTCTCTGCTCCACATACACATCTTCCAGTAACTTCACCATTACAGAATTATGTACCCATTCGTTTAATTATTGGGAAACTCAAGACAAGACATTTCTTAGTAATTAGCAAATTGTCCAGTCATGATCATTTCCAAAGTTTTCTTAACATTTTCAGTGTTGTAAATGGCACAAAGTTATTAACATTTCCCCCAGTTCTTAGCTGACTTAATGAAATATTCTTAAGACATTGCGACAGCAGAACAAATTCAGTTTGTTGACAGGCAACACACCCAACCACCCACGCCCCATATTAATTGGCTGACCTACAATTCCATCTGTTATCAGTCGATAAGATGGGCGGCCTGCTTGGGCAACCCACTCGATATTGAGGGTCTCTGATAATAGAGAGCGAACCTCAAGGAAGCCGAACCCCTTCGACAGACAGTCCGAAGTGAGGCGTCCAGGTCTGAAGACCTGACTTGATCGATCGCTATGAAGTACTAACGATAACTGTATTAACTAATTAATTAATTACTCTAAATATTCGTTTAATTATATTGGGTTTTTAATCTGTTTAATTTATAGCGTACGGGAACGCTTCAAGCAGCATCGTGTTCGCAGCCCGGATTGGTCGAAACGCATCAGAGACAAAAGACTGCAACAAAACAAGGCGAAGAGCTGCATCGAGGGTAAGCTAAACAAATATGAATAAAAATAAGACTCTATGGGTTATGCAATATCTGGATTAGATAGCGCACAGACAGCTCACAGTGCTGAATATAGATTTTTTTCCCAGACTTTGTGAGATCTAGATATGCATACATATGCACGTAAATAGACATTGTCTTCTAAGTATACCCTATATCAATTGATAGAGCAATGGGGTATATTGGTTGTGTGCAAATGCATGTAACAGGCAGTAGGCAGCATATAAGATCCTATAGAGAATACTTATCCTTGATAAGAAGAAAAGAAGCTGAGTCGATCCTCCGCGCACTATATAGGGTATCTTCGAGTCGCCCACACTCGACTCTTACATTTCTTGTGCCTCAACTAAATTTGCACAAAGAACGTTTTGCCATATTCTTTGTTTATTTAGCTCCTCTTTGTTGCTCTATTTCAAATGTTATTTACCTTGCCAAATGATTTCCTATATAAACAAATGTGCTGCAACCAAAATGAAAGCTTTTACATACAAAGACAGTCGAGCTTTTAAGTCGAGCTTGCAGCGCCTGCTGCGCGCTGGTTTGGGTCCGTGCTAAACTTGCGTACCACATGGAATCCACTTTGCAAACTTGACATTTAAATTGCTTTAATTATATACTTATAATTAATGCTGTTTGGCTCCATCAGTGACACTTAATTTTGTTGATAAGTGTGCCGTAATGATGCCCAAGTCAAGGTAGTTAAAAGTGTTGCCTTAGGCGCTGCGACCAAATGAAATGAAATGCCAAAAGTAAACAATGCCAAACGAAATTGAAACTAACAAGACAGCGACGACGACGACGGCGACAAAGTTTACAGTTAATTATGCCCAATGCAAATGAGAGTAAACAGAATAGCAACAACAACAACGCGCAAATGAGTGCGCACACACTTACACACACCCACAAGCACACAGATGAAGTGAGTAAGCGCTGCGCGCACATTTCTCACACAAGCAGCGAAAATTGGAATTGCAATTGCAATTGGCGCCTGCCGCCTGCGCGCGACAGGTTCCACACAAGGCAACAACATGTTGTGAGCGCACGTAAACAATGCCCATAAACTGGACGGGCGAGCTTATTGCCTTGTTGTTGCTGTGCAATTTTCATACCACAGCTGCCAGCAGCAACAACAACGCTGTTGCTGTCTCTCACAGCAACACACACTCGCAAAGTCACTCGCTCATCGGCCGAGTCTCTCTCTCTCTCTCTCTCTCTCTCTCTGTCTCTTCCAGCAGCTGCACAGTCTCTGCGCGTCAGTTCATACGTTCGGTTCGTCTCGCGGACGCTGCCTGTCGTAAAGTCGCCCAGCCGCCAGTGGAATTAATGTGTGTTAAATGTGAAAAAAACCTTAGCCAATATTTAACAATATTTTCATATATATTGTTTGTTGCTTTTGATGTGGTTATGCGTGCGCGCGCAACTTAGTGAAAAGTGAAAAAGAAAAGCATATTATAAGAGAAATGCATGCGGTGCATGCAAAATTAGCAGACGACCCCAGCGTCAGACGCCAGCTTCGACTGCGCAGCGGGCGTCGCAGCTAGTTTTGAATTATTGCACGCTGCTGCTGTTGTTGTTGTTGTTGTTGCTGTTGTTGTTTTGTACTTTTATGCAAAGGCAGCGAGACGTCACGAACTGAAACCGAAATTGAACACAGCCCACCCGTTCGCCCCCTCCGCCCGCTTGCCCTACGCCCGCAATGAGCGTCAACCTAAAGCTTCATGTTTCACCGTTATTGTTGTTGCTGCTTTGAGAGATGACGAAATTGTTAAGCGAAAACCAGTCTAGAAACACTATAAAGCGCTCAAAAGCGCACAACCTTGAAGAAGTTAAGAGCTGTTAAAAAACACACACACACACACACACACAAGATGAACAGCTTAAGGAACTCGCAATGCAATGACTGAGCGAAATACAAATAAGATATAAAAAAAAAAGAGAAGAAATAGTAAATAGTAAAAAGTGGAATAGGCAAATGCAAAAGCGTGCGAAATTGCAAAATCAAACGTAATCGTGTGCAATAATTATGTGTGTGCATCCAAAAGAGGAGCACATAAAAAAAAATTTACAAATATAAATGAAAATATCAAACCATAAAGAGCTTTTGCAAAATGGCCGACGCAAAAAGTTCACTGAACGCTGGCAGCGCAGCGACGCAGCCAATTGGCAATCAAATGCAACAGGCCCAAAACTGTTAAATGCATGAAAAACAATTTCAATTGTTAAGTGCGTAATTGGGCTGCGGGCGCATTTAGTGAAAAGCCCGACCTCGCAATGTTAACTGTTAATTCTCAGCTCAACTTTTACCCAGGGCACGTTCGCTTTTCAACAACACGCGATGTTTTAAAACGAAAACAAAAACAAAAAAAAGCGAAAGTGTCATGAAAAACTACACACAACCTTAAAGTACACACAATTGCACGCATTGGCGGAAAAGCGCGCAATGGAAATTGACGATGTTTCTTGTCGGAAAAGCTGGCACATACGTGAGAGCCGCAGATTAAGCCAAACGGTTTCTATCTGCGACTCTGATAACCGGCAGACAATGACATCGTTTGGCAATTAATAAGTTTACCCTCAATGCGTCAATCCATCAATCAATCAATGATCCCCCCCCCTCATCACTTCACTCTGCACTGCCAGCACCCGGAACGGGGTTCAGCTGCATTTCGATTCGGCATTGGAATTGAAAATAATTAAAACAGAGAGAAAGAGAGAGGGAGAGAGAGAGAGAGCGAGCGAGCGAGCGATAAAGTGCGAGATAGAGCGCTTGTTGTGCACTTTGCCAAGGCTAAGAAATTGTATTCTTGTAATTATAAACAATCGTCTCGGATTTACAGTAATTGCAACGCACACACACACACATGTGCACATAATTGTATCTGTATCTCGTCTAGACTCTAGACGCACAGTTTTCTTTGCGTGTGGCCCACACGCAAATGCCAGAGAGTTGGCCAAAAAGGCCCAACAAAAGAGCCAAAAGCTACAGGCAACATTTCCGCATCACGCAATACACTGTGCAAAATCATATATGAGTTTGTTTATTGAAGCAAACAGCAAAGCGGAAAATCGAAAAAGTTGCCTTATTGAAATGAGAATTTGTTCGGGAAAGTTTTGACTGTTGAATAATTTGCAATTTCAAATTCAGTTTTACGTGCACTTTAAACAATTTTGCCGAATAAGCCTTAAATTTTATATTAACATTTTTTTAAGATTTATGTGTAAGCCAAGAGATCAACAAAATGGCGTGTAAAAAATCATTTTTTATTTTGTTATTCATTCTAAACCAAAAAGCTTCAATATTGAAATCTTTATTTCATAACCTGCGCATTCTCTTCTTCTTTTCCCAGAGTGCCCAGCTCCACTTTTTTACAACTTCTTCTACTTATGTTTTACAACACTAGAAGTTGTAGCTGTTGCCTTTCGAAAGTTGACATTAACTAACACTGTTTACAATATGTTAACGGAAAAAGTTAAATTTAATTTGATTGCAAGAACTGTTAATCTTAAAATCGTATCTCTTGAAAAATGTTCTTAACTCGATTCTTGCTACTTTTTTCGTACACGCAAGTTAGATTTAATGTACAGCATTTCACAGAACCTTGCTGATTTTTTTCGTTTATTTTTTTTTTTATATAAAATTGGCTTGTGGCACATTCTGAAAGCGGGCAACAAGCTAAACAAGTTGCGTCCCACGCGCAACAAGTGCCGCTTTGGTCAGTCAACAAAAATATCGTGTTTCATTATGCTCGTTCCCGCTCCCTCCTCGCTCTCTATATCCTCCCTCCCTCTCTCTCTTTATATATGCCATTTTTGAGCAGATTTAGCCTTATATGGCAACTCTGTTTTATTATCTCTGTCGAACCGGTTCGCTTCGCTGCGTATACGTAATATACATGCGTGTGCGCGCGTGTGTGTGTGTGTGTGTGTGTGTGTGTGTGTGCTCTGCTTTTATCTAGTCTGTCGCTTTTATTTGGGCGCCTTTTTGTGTGTGTGTGTGTGTGTTAATTACACACATTTGTACCTGCTGCTTCTATTATTTTCGACTTTGTCTGCATTCAAGCGTGATTTTGTTTTAAATTTTGCGCTATTTTGCATGTCGCTGCGCAGTCAAAAATCGCGCATACGCCGCGTTTTGTTCGTTTTTAGGCAAAATAATATTGTGACACTTGAAAGACTCGCTTAATTAGCGAGGGTCGTTTATGGAGTTGCGGCAAGATGTGCATTTATGAAACTTGTATTTATCATGACTTTTTGGACTTCCTAAATTAGCTATAAACTTGGGTATTTCGTTTAAACATTTGGCAAATGTTATTGTTTGTTTTAACACAAAACCTGAAAGCCAATTTGCCATTGTCATTTGCTGAAGCTGCATTCCTTGAGTTGGAGCACAGCAAATGAAAGTTGAACGTAGTTGACACAGACAAAATGCAAATAAGAGAATTCCAGAGTCGACTTGTGTTCTACCCTGAACCCAGAGCTAGACATGAGACGCTTTGCTGTGCTTCCCCATGCCTTCGGTCTCCATAGTCCGATCTGACAGATCTCAACTGTGGCAGCCCTTTTGTGGCTCAGCTCAGTCTTTTGATCGGGAATATATTTGCTTACCCTGTAGAGTCGGAAATGCTTCCCTCTAATAAAAATGCAGCAAAATTTATTGTGTGGCACGTACGTTAATTGCTTTTAATTGAAAACGAAGTTGGGGGTTCAAGAGTTCAGCGAACAGCAACAACAACAAGAGGGGCAACAACTTGAATTAATTCTTAGAAATCGTTTAGTGCAGTCGATAGGAGAACGTCCAAGTTGAATGACTAAAATATGCTGCGATGGCAACCAGCGGCAATCACAGTCAACGCCTCAGCTGCACGGGCAGCCTGAGCAGTAACAGTAGCCACGCCCACAGCAATGGGCAGCTGGTCACGTTGCCACGCAAGCGACGGCCACGTGCCGCAGGCGAAGTCAGCGTCACGTGCCCGACGAGCAGTGTCTACCTAAATGCCGAGCCAAGTGCGGAGCACAGTGCGAGCCAGGCTCCGTCCGAGCCGGAGCCCATCTATCAGAACGAGGCGGCGGCCATCAGTCAGCGGGCGCGGCAGCGCCAACGTCGCCTGCCGCTGCATCAGAGCGTGCTGCGCGTCAGCTATGTGGAGCAGGGCAGGGAGTCCATGGTGGTCAGCAGCTTTGTAGGTTCGTTTGGACAGCAGCAGGAGCAGAGAGTTCAGAGAGTTGCCCTTGATATAAGCCTAATGCCAATCTCGTCACATTTTTTTGCCACAGATGACTCGGATCACTATTACGAGACGCTGGCGCCGTTGGGCAACAAACGGCACTCGACGCAGCTGCCGCCGGGTCAGCATCGGGTTTCGCAGCGACGCGGCAAGCAGCATTCGGCGTCGGCGCAGGCGCTGGGCCAGCATCAGAGCAACTCGGATGACTACGATTCCTTCGAGACGGACAGCGATGAGCACACGGAGCCCGAACAGCGCTTGCAACACGTAAGTGGAGTAGACCAAGTGCAGCTCAGGTAGTTGCAACTAATCTTCCATTTCTTTGGCAGCACAATGACAGCGGCGTGGACATGCGCAATCATCGCCTGCCGGAGCCGCCGGCGCCGCAGAATCAAGTGTATGCGATTGTGCGCAAATTCAAGGACTTCATCTCCAGCAAGAAGTCGCCCAAGGGCAGTCAGCAGAAGCTCTACGAGAACAGCAGCTCCGGCTCCCAGTTCTATGTGGAGTGCCGCAGCAGAAGCAAGCAGGAGCAGTACGAGACTCCCGCCCGTTCGCTGAGCAGCTCCGAGCGCAATCTGCTGGCCAGCCAGAGTCCGCAGGAGCAGCTGCAGCAGCCCGCCTCGGCTGGCAGCCTGCTGCGAGCCAAGCCAAAGAATGGCAAGAGCCTGCGCTCGCGTCTGCGCAAGAGCCTGGTGGGCAACTCCTTCGATACCAAACAGCTGTCGGCGCTGACGCCGACGCGCAGCACCTTCTATATCGAGGATCCGCCGTCGCAGCAGCAGCTGCTGGCGCTGCAGCAGGCGCAGCACGGCTCCGGCGAGCTGGACTCGGGCTTCTCGGAGAAGGCCTCCTCCGGAGACCTGCCCGTCGTGATGCCTGCGACGCCCGGCGATGTCGAGGCGCACAAGTTCTCAACGGTCGCACGCAAAACCAAAAAGGAGGCCAAGGCACTCCGGCGCCGCACCACAATTGGCGTGCGTCCACACGAGCCGCCGCCTCCGCCACCGCCGGTGGCGGTCGAGATGCGCGGCAATAGAGCACAACAGGAGGCACATTCACCCACCTCCTGGTATGCCGAATGCGGCGTCTTCAAGCAATCAACTACAACAACAACAACAACAACAGCAAGCACAGCTGAGCTGACCACGCCCACGCCCAGTGCCAATGGTGGCGGCAGCTCGTGGTATGCAGAGTCAGGTCTCTACCAGACCAGCGGCATATCCGTGGCCAGCTCGAGCGGCAGCTCCGGCGTCTCTACGGGCAACGAGGCGGGCCTGGGCGATGAGCTGCAGCCGCACAGTTTGTTCGACAACGAGCCCCTCTACCAGGTCTACAGCGCCGCCAAGCTGGAGGTAAGAGTATCCCCTTCCTGCCCCAAAGAAGCATTTCTCTAAACTTTTAATCGCTTGCAGTCCATTACGCGCGACCTGGAGGCGCAGGAGGGCTCCACGGATGGCTACGAGGAGATTGGCCACACCAAGGCGCAGCCGACGCAGCGGAAGACGCGTCCCAGCGCTCTGCAGCTGGTCGAGCCTAAGAATGGGCCATCCCGCACGCTCTGGAGCGAAATACCCGAGGTCATCCATTCCTGCATCTTGCGTGAGTAGCTAAAATGTTATTCCAACTGTGGTTTCTATATCATCTTGCTTGCAGCCACGTTGACGCCCCGGGAGCGCGGCCTGCAGGAGGCCAAGTTCGAGATCATGACCTCGGAGGCGAGCTACCTGAAGTCCCTGAATCTGCTGCGACGTCATTTCATGAACAATGCCGCCTTCTGCGACAGCTCCGTGCTGAGCACGCGCGACCGCAAGGCGCTCTTCTCCTACATTGTGCCCGTGCACGAATGCTCGGAGCGTCTGCTCACCGAGCTGGAGTGCTGCTGGCAAAACAACATCATGCTGCTGGGGCTGAGCCGCTGCATCTACGAGATTGCCGAACGGCATTTCCATGTGTACATCACGTTCTGCGAGCACCAGGGCCGCATGGATCGCACGCTGCGTCGCCTCAAGGAGGCGAAGAGCGGCGCCTTCCAGCAGCAGCTGGAGAAGCTCGAAGCCAGTCCCAGCTGCTGTGGCCTCAATCTGCACTCGTTCCTCATGCTGCCCATGCAGCGGATCACGCGGCTGCCGCTGCTCATCGATGCAGTGTTTAGCAAGGAGTCGCCGCACAATGCCGACGAGTACGAGAGCTGGAAGCTGACGCTGGCGCTCGTCCAGAAGATTGTTGCGCAGTGCAACGAGGCGGCCAATCGCTGTGAGCAGGCCTATGAACTGGAGCGCATCTCCAAGCAGCTCGAGTTCCCCGCCCATATACGCGCTCTGGCCATAGTGCCAGTGGGCGTGCCCAAGCAGGGCGCCAAACCGCGTTTCCTGGTCAAACGGGGCGAGCTGACGCATCTGATGTGGCGCGGCGACGATGCCAAGCTGACGTTCGGCAAACGCTTCACCAAGTCCAGCATCTATGCGTTCCTCTTCTCCGACCTGCTGGTGCTCTGCAAGCGCAAGGGCGAGTCCAACTTCACGGTGTTCGACTACTGCCCCCGCAGCATGCTGACCCTGGCGTCGGGCGACTCACTGCCCCAGCTGCCCACCAAAGACATCAAGGATCCGACTAGTAAAAATCTCATGCTGATGACGCTGCTAGAGAACCACGAGCGCAAGACCATAGAACTTGTAAGAGTCCCGATTGCTTTGCTTCCAAATTGAGCATAAACTAATGCAAATTCCTTCTGCCTTCGTTCAGGTGCTGTCCTGTCCCTCGGTGTCCGATCAGCAGCGCTGGCTGGAGGCTATGCGTCCACCGGAGGCGGAAACACCTGGCGAGAAATTGTACGAGTCCTGGGACTGTCCGCAGGTCATTGCCAAGCACAGCTACGAATCTGATGAGCCAGATGTGCTACAGCTGGAGCTGGGCGACGTGGTAAACGTCTCACGCAAGCTGCCTGATGGTGTGTCTGCTCCGTTTTCGTACTCTTTCACAGATTCCAATTACGTTTTCCCCTTTTTCTGTTAACCAGGCTGGTACCAGGGCGAACGCATCAGGGACGGCGCCGTCGGCTGGTTCCCCGGCAGCTACACGGAGGAGCTGAACTCGTCCCATGTACGCGCCCGCAATCTGAAGCAGCGCCATCGCCTGCTTACCTTTACCGCCACCTACCTGGAGGCGCAAAAGGGCAAATGATTCTCGCCTTCGCCATCTCCCAACCGGCCACTCATAGTTGGCCGAGTATTCAAATATTATAGTCCATCAAAAGATACAATTTGTATAAGTACATATATACAACAATTTAGGAAATGTGATAATTAATTAATTATGTATTTGTTTAAAGGCAAACAAAGAAAATCATAAACAATTGCTGCCCCTTTCTATATATATACATATATTATGAGCACTAGTTGTAAACGATTCAAACGCAATCGGTATATTTATGCATGCTAGTTAGTTATGTGAATTACAATTATATATAAATATATGCATGTTACAAAATAAATTATAATATAATAACTATAAGATTGGCCTGAAAGTAATCAGCAAAATGTTTAAAGTCCGCAACCTAAAAGCATGCAACGAAATCTGTGGATTCATAAAACTTGAAAAAATGGCCATATCTTTGCCAAATGAAGTCCGATTTTGAAAAGATGTGCATTTTCGGACTCGTGGAGCTCCATAGAATCAAATAGAATCCAAGTTTTTCTAACCCCTTGCTATTTTTCGAAATCTGGTCAAGTCTTAGAATGTGGATTTTTGGACGCCAATCGATAGTCGGGATCTGTACGAGTCTAACAAGCCATATCATTCCGAAATCTGACTTAATTTACACGAGATATTCAAGTTTTAAACATTTTCAAAAACCCTAAAAATGGCCATATCTTGGCCAAATGTAGTCCGATCTTGAAAAGATTAGCATTTTCGGACTCGTGGAGCTCCATAAAATCAAATAGAATCCAAGTTTTTCAAATTTGGAAGAAATCCCATTTTAAGCTAAAAACGTGATGTAACCCCTTGCTATTTTTCGAAATCTGGTCAAGTCTTAGAATGTGGATTTTTGGACGCCAATCGATAGTCGGGATCTGTACGAGTCTAACAAGCCATATCATTCCGAAATCTGACTTAATTTACACGAGATATTCAAGTTTTAAAAATTTTCAAAAACCCTAAAAATGGCCATATCTTGGCCAAATGAAGTCCGATCTTGAAAAGATTAGCATTTTCGGACTCGTGGAGCTCCATAGAATCAAATAGAATCCAAGTTTTTCAAATTTGGAAGAAATCCCATTTTAAGCTAAAAGCGTGATGTAACAACCCCTTGCTATTTTTCGAAATTTGGTCAAGTCTAAGAATGTGGATTTTTGGATGCCAATCGTTAGTCGGAATCTGTACGAGTCTAACAAGCCATATCATTCCAAAATCTGACTTAATTTACACGAGATATTCAAGTTTTAAACATTTTCAAAAACCCTAAAAATGGCCATATCTTGGCCAAATGAAGTCCGATTTTGAAAAGATTAGCATTTTCGGACTCGTGGAGCTCCATAGAATCAAATAGAATCCAAGTTTTTCAAATTTGGAAGAAATCCCATTTTAAGCTAAAAACGTGATGTAACCCCTTGCTATTTTTCGAAATCTGGTCAAGTCTTAGAATGTGGATTTTTGGACGCCAATCGATAGTCGGGATCTGTACGAGTCTAACAAGCCATATCATTCCGAAATCTGACTTAATTTACACGAGATATTCAAGTTTTAAAAATTTTCAAAAACCCTAAAAATGGCCATATCTTGGCCAAATGAAGTCCGATCTTGAAAAGATTAGCATTTTCGGACTCGTGGAGCTCCATAGAATCAAATAGAATCCAAGTTTTTCAAATTTGGAAGAAATCCCATTTTAAGCCAAAAACGTGATGTAACCCCTTGCTATTTTTCGAAATCTGGTCAAGTCTTAGAATGTGGATTTTTTGGACGCCAATCGATAGTCCGGATCTGTACGAGTCTAACAAGCCATATCATTCCGAAATCGGACTTAATTTACACGAGATATTCGAGTTTTAAGATTTTTGAAGGCCGATTTTGGAAGATTCGGCTTTTTGGACTCATTTTTACCAGTTAAAGGCAGGCACAATATTTGTTTTTTGATTTTACAGTTTGTATTTTTTTCAATAGTTTTTATGCGACCTTAAGCATTGCTTGGGTATACATGTGTTTATGTACGTGTAGTTAATCCTCGAATGCTAACCCGATGCTCCCCTACCTTACTCAGTATAAACTAACGTATACGTAGTGTATGGTGAACAATATAATTAAATCAATTAATAGATTATTGCTGTCATAAATTATTAAATCTAATGCAAACACTACGAGTAGCTCGAGCACATGATACAATGGTCGATCGATCGATAGCAGCCTCGAGTGCTACTAAATCGTGCACACAATCATGCTAACTAAATCTAAATCAAATAATTTACAATACTTCTTCATGTGACTGCGATGAGTGGGTTCCCTAAATTAAATCGTTATATGATGGTTTGGTATATAATTATAAATGTTAATATTAATGCCATAATGGATGACAGGTGCGACTTCTATAGAGTATGAGTGTTTGTTTGTTTAATTGTTTGTTATGTTAAGCTGCCGTATGCCCTAACTAACGTAACCTGCTTTTACTACACGCTATTATTCATATAAATAGATATATATATATATCACAAAGTCAGTGAAATGAAAATTCGCTGGAGTATTTCGCTTGTTTCGCTTTGGATGATGCGTGAGAGGATGAAGCTTGATGAACTGGCTCTTAATTATGTTTTGGCAATGATTGTTATTGGTCCGGTCGAGACGCGTTTGTCATCTGAAGCTGATGCCGCACTTGCGACTAATCTTGGGCGTATGGATGTAGGCGATGGACAGCAGCAGCGGCACATCATTCTCGGAGAGCTGCAGCGGTGTCGTAATGTCGCCCAGGCGGCAGGGATCCGTTTCGAGCAGAAATGCAGCCAATGTTTCCGATTGCATATAGATCTCCTGCAGCTTCGACTCCAGAAAGGACAGGCACTGCAATTGGATACAAATTCTGATTAGCTTAAACAATTTATATAATTATATTGAGAAGCACTTACGTCGTAAGCGGGTATGCCGCCGGCGTGCATGGCCTGGACAGTCTCGAGCATGCTGGAAACCAGCTGGGACATGCCCACCGGCGAACTCTGACCGCCTGCATAGGGGAACTGCTGTGACTGTGATGAGATTAGGCGCACATCCCACTTATCCATGTCCGCCACAATGGCAATATTCTCCGCCGGCTGTGAGATAAGCGAGGCGGAACGTGCGGCCAGCGCCAGATCCTCGCGCAGATTCATTTCCCACTTAAAGGGCGGTGCACAGGTGCCCTGCAAGAAATATTTGTTAGCCATGCACTTGGTTTTATTAAGTTTCGAGTTTGCCTCACCTGGAGCACCATGTCGGAGACGTAGTGATCGCTGACGCTCAGCATCAGCGATGGAATGAAACCGGCGCGCAGCTTGTCGCCGGGTGGCTCATCCTCCTGCGGCAGCTCCTTGATGCCCGGCACGGGCAGCTTCAGCATCTGCTGCGACTCATTGACAGCCGCACACTTTGCGGCCACCGATGAGACGGAGCTGCGCTGGGAGGGCACACGCTTCGCCTGGGCCCGTCGCGTATAGCTGGGCGTGGACGCCGGCTCCGGCATCGACTTCAGCGTATCGATGGAGGCAGCTGAGTTGACCGGCTGCAAGGCGCTGGAGCTGTTGCTGCTCTCGTTGTAGCAGTGCACCTCATCCGTCTCAAACTCCAGTTCAGTGGCATTGGAGGGCGTCTGGTATGTGGCTCCTCCGCTGAGCGCGCCTCCGCTGTTGCACACGATGCAGCGTTCGCTGCCCACAGCCGCTGGCGAAATTGTGGAGCTGCTGCTGGCCGCCAGTTGCTGCTGCTGCTGCTGCAGGGTGACGCTGCTGTCACTAGACTTGAGGGATTCGCTGGCCTCCAGTTTGCTGACCTTGTCCATCAGCAGATCATAGTTGGACATGAGCAGGTTCTTGCTCTTCATGTAGTTCGTCGCAATCTGCGGATATTGCTGAAAGTTGAACTTCATGCCCGAGTGCTTCTTGTTGGCCATGCTGGCGTCATGGGTGCGCTGGTGCAGGGCGCACAGCATTGAGGGCTTGGCGTCATCGGTGAGATCCTCGTTGCTCTTCTTGAGATTTATCAGCGGCTCGTTGTCGCCCAGAACGAAAACAACGCCGTTGCCATTGTCCGCCGAGGTCTGGCGGCAGATGCCGTGCTCCCGTTCGATGAGTTTCTGGCAGAGATCAAAGTGGATTTGCTCCTCGAGACTAACATTCTCCTTGATGGGCTCAATGCCCCACGTCATCCGATCGCTCTTGCCCATGCTGTTCTGTGTGATCAGATCCGAGAGCGACAAATGCGAGACACGGCGATCCGCTCCCAGTTGTTCCAGCGACTCGTTGCCGACGCACGGTGGGGGCTCGTTCTCCACGGAGTAACTGCTGCTGCGGCGCTCCAGTTTGCGATTTATCATTTTGACGCCCTGCTGCAGCTTGGCCAGATCGCTGAGACTGAAGCCCTCCTTGACACCCGTCGTGGGCACAATGTTCCAGAAGAAGTTCTTCTTGCAGGGCAACGCCGGATTCTGCTCCGTTTCCGTTGCTGCTGTTGCAGCTGTTCGGCTCTCATCGAACTCGAGGGCTTCGATGGCGCCGTCATCAATGCTGCCGCCGGTGCCGACAGAGCCGGCATTCGAGTCCTCCTCCATGCACAACTCTACGTTCTCCGGCGTGGTCACAGTCAAACGTATGCGCCCATCCTTGCCGGTGCGAAAGTACTTTTGGGCCTGGCGCGCCAGCAGCGTCTTCTTCTCGATGCCCGTGTCCATGAGGTAGTTGCCAATGCGCAGCTCCTGCTGCACAAAGTGCGAGTCGCGGAATGCCAGCACCGTGGGAATCTCGTTCTTCTTCAGTGTGCCAATCAACTTGGCATCCTCCTCCTGCTGCTGCTGCTCTAGCTCCAGCTCCTCCAGCTCCTCATCCCCGCTGCTCAGTTCGTCCTGCTCCGCATCGTCCACAATGGCATTCAGATTCTGCTTGCAGGTTGTGGTGCGGCTGAGGCCAAGGCCAGCTGCCGCAGTACGTCGCCGCATGGCGGGCGGACTCTTGTGCCGCTCCTGGCCGCTCTGGCTGATGACCAGTTCGTTGATGAGCTGCTTGTTGAAGTCCTCCCGCTTGGCGGCGCGTCGCACCTCGCTGCAGCGTATGAAATAGGTGAGCACGTTGAGCAGCTTGTCCACCCACATCTTCTCCGAGCCGTAGATGATGGTGCGCGCCAGCTTGGGCGGCATGCCGATGGCGCCATACAGATCGCCCAGCTGTGCCCAGAGCGCATTGTACGGATGCTTCTGCGAGACCTGCAGCAGCTTGGCGCGCCGTTCAATGGCCGCCGACGAGGCGGATGCAGTGCAGCGACGCGAGCTGGAGCTATTGAATGCCGACACGGTGGCCAC